GCCACCATACCGGCCGTTGCGTGTCGACCGATATCTTCCCGTGGAATCGTTTCCATGACCTGATGCCCTATTACAATCGCCTCTTCAAGATCGCGCGGGTCGCCGTTTCGCACAAACCTTCCGCGCAAAGCGTATATCAGCCTATTGCTCGCATAGCGGCGAGGATTGCCGTGGGGAAGTGCGCATCGAAAGGATTCTCGGCTGAGCTGGACAGATTCATCAAGCATGCGTCCGGAGTCTGAAGACTCGACCATGGATGCTCGGAGACGGAGCATGATGGCGATCGTTCCCAAAATATCGGCCCTGTCGTTTCCCCGAATGCAATCTTCCTCTAACGCGTGCCGGCCTATGGCGAGCGCATGTTCGTAATCCTCGGTAGCCCCAGAAAGCTCGAATTTCGTCCGGAGCGAAGACATTTGTCTAAGCAGCAAAGAACCTCTGTGAATGTGCGTAGGAGGGCAAATCTGTAATGCTTCCGCTACAGTAGCGATAGCTTCGTCGAGATCCTGTCGATCGCCCAAGGATTCGTGCCGCAAACGGAGGGAGATCGCGAGACACCGCAAGTACCGCTGCTTGTCGCTGCTTCTGTTTTCCAGTAACGCTTGCCGTGCAAGATTCACTGCCTCGTGGATTTGTTCCGAAACCCCGCTTTCCATGTGCCGTCGAACGTATATCCTTGAAAGCACAAGAAGTGCGGAGGGGGTGAGCGTATGCCCAGAGGTACGGGCGCACAGATGAATGGCTGTTTGACACAGTGATTGGGCGAGCGTCCTGTCATCGCATTTACTGCTCGCTCGAGTGTTAATGTTGAGGATACCGGCATATAGCACTAGCACTGTTGGACAGAGTAAACCTGCCGCCTGGCAACTGGTGTAGGCCTCCGAGCCATATTTTACTGCAGAATCAAGATCGGTCTGCTGGCTGAGGTGGGTATACCGTTCTTGCAGCGTATTCGCTAGCTCAATGAGTACATGGTGCCGCTTCATAGGATGTGACACTAGTCGTTCTCCTCCACAGAGAACATCCTGGTAGATTTCTATGCACTTTTGTGCCGCTTCAAGGTCGCTCTCCTGGATGTAGCGCTCGAGGAGGCGCGACGCTTCGTTGCGTTCAAAACTGGGTGCTGTCAAATTCCGAGTTAATACACAGCTGCCTGAGTGCGAAATAGAGAGGATTCGTGCCAAAAGCGCATTCGCAAACACGCTCCGCGGAGGAAGGCGAGGAATCGGTCAAGGTCGACGAGCTCCCGTGCATGTAGGGCGTGTCATGGGTAGAACCTAGTCAATCGATGGTAAGTAAAAGGATATTCCAATGGAAACATGAAGAGTGTCACCATGTATCGACGTATTGACAGAGTCATAGGGCGCCATTCGCGGGGCTTTGTCCTTACCACGACGATTGCTTGATGTGCCCGGTATTTGAGGATAGCGCCGCGCCCATGGTTGTGCGATCAATGCGGTGTTTGTGGATTTAGGTTTCTCGGAGATATTGATCGCGACCGATCGGTAGTCATATCTATTTCAATGGATTGAAGTCAAATCGAGGGTCCGAGCTTATCGTAGTCCGCGGTGCTTATGACTAGATCGAGGTAGCAGGCCCGCACGGGTTGAAACCGTCTCATTACCATGCAAGGCAAATGAGCGTTGACTTCGGATTGTTAGAAAAGCTTGGTGCAGCGCTTGCTTGTAGATCATCCGCTATCGTCGTTATGCTGGAGTCAGCCCACATGTGAAGACACCAACAACTTCGCCGTGTAGGACATAAACTATGCGTCCTCGGTGAGGTCTAGGGGAGCAGGAGCTCAGCAGCTCGACAGAAAGCATGCATCGGCAGAAAAGCGATGGTGTGTTTGAGGACGGTGAAGCGTACACGGGGCAAGAACTTCTCAGTGTGGTTGAACGAGATTGAGAAGGGCATCTTGAGTCTGGCTGCACACTAGAGAGCTTGTTCTTTGATGACTGGGAGACGGACGCCAGCTCAGAGTCGCTATGCAGGCTGCGGAAGCACAAACACAAGCCAGAAATGCGTAAGCTTGCAGCGTCTTCGGGACCGGAGGCATCAATAGTGATATAGGCGAAAGGCAGTTGATGCGTTTGAGGACGTTGGAGAGTATCGAGACGGCTTGCGAGTGCCGCCTAGATAAGTACCCAAACAGGTGCCTAAAAGTTCGTCACTGATGAATATTTCATGATAATGGCAGACACGAGCGGCACGATTACTCGCACAACATTAGTGTGTATCGTTAGGTGCGAGACCTTTGACCCCCTCAATACGATATCAGAAGACAGCTGTGGCAGGATGAAAACGTGACGAAAGTCTGTTCACGTAGACGAGCGGAAAGGCTGGTCCGCGGCGCGGGGACGCGCCTCATCCTCTCCTTCCGCGTCCACATCCACCTCGTCCCGTCGCCGCGCGCGGTCAGCGTCCCGCGTCGGGACGAGGTGTATATCCGCCCTTTCCTCTCTTCCGCCCTCCAGATGTATAAAAACCCAGTGTTCTGCTCGTACTGATCTTCAGCATTCTAGTCCCAACCATCGTCGTCTCCCAATCCTATACGCACATCCCAATTCTACACGCACATCCCAATCTACCTCCCATCTAACACCCATCTCCTTACTACACGCACCTCCCAATCCACCACTCATCTAACCACCCATCCCCTTCCTACACGCACACCCCTATCTACCACCCATCCCCTTCCTACACGCACCTCCCTATCTACTACCTATCTCCTTCCCACCCGCACTCCCCATACTACCACTCACCTATAATCTAGAACGATCTCCGACTACCCTACCGACATGCTCCGCCAGTACACCGTCTTCTATTCCAACTACATCGTCCTCCGATGGAATCAAGACGCTCTTCCTCTCGACGTTCGAACCGCTCTTCGCCTCGAGGCCACCGCCCTCCGCCGGGTCATCGCTCTCATGGAGGACACCATCGACGGCGACGCCGAAGACCTCGAGGAAGCCGAATGCCGATTCAACCAACTCCGCGACATCCACCGTCTCCAAGGCATCGACGTCCTCGAACTGCGCAGGGAGAAGGAGGCGCTCGCCCGTCAAGCAGAGACGCGGCGGGCCCACACGCGCGCTCCTGAGCTCTCCGCTTTCAGGCTCAGGATGCCGACGTTCCCGAAGCTTTCATCGTCCACACGGAGGCTTCGGGGAATGGCGATGAAACTCCGGGGTACCAGTACGTTTGCTCTTGCCCTACGATCTCCCTCGCACGCGGGGCTAACGGAGGTCTCCACGCAGGGAAGACCCTAGGACCTGATGAGGCTACCGTCCTTGCCCAGCTGCAGGCCCTCATCGGTACCGGGGCTCGCTTGGACCCTTGGCAGATCGCGGAAGCCTATGCGGCAAGATACGGGGTACGTCCGCTCGCGTCACCAGCCCGTCTTTGCGCGTACTGACCGGACTCTGCAGGGCGAGTACTATATGTTCGTCTTTCAAGCCCTGGCGGAGGCCGGCTTCGACTGAGGTCGGCTTCGCGAGGCCTCGGGCACGCCGCCCGATGGTTTCTGGGACTGGAGCGCGAGTCCCACAGGCATAGTGCACCTCTACGTGCCTGAAGGGGTCGACGTCGTCGGCGGCGTCGGCCCTGGAGGAGGTGACACGACCCCCGATCTTCCTAACGCCGACGGGAAAGCACGGAAGGCGACGCCGGATGTTGGAGCCCGAATCTCGCTCGCTCGAGGGGCCTCGCACGACGACCGGCGCGGCGGACGCGGACGGGGAGGGCGCCGGGGATGCTCTTGGGCGTCGTCGTGCGTTTCTTGCCAGATGCTCCCTGGCCACGGGCGGGGTTTGTCTCGAGGGCGAAGACGAGGGACGGAGTTGGTGTTCGGGTTGCCTGGGTCGAGAGTGGGACGCCGCGATCGCCCGGACGCTCGTTCAGTAACGCATCTTGGCCGAGTCGGTGCGCCGGCATGCAGTACGGGACAATCGGTATGTTTTCTTGTTTCGACTCGATGTTACGAACCCTCGCTCATTCGAATGCTTTTCTTGCAGGTCGAGTTCGGGACGCCGCTCGATGGGATGTCCGTGCGACTGCGCAACTTGAAGATAACCCGAAAAAAATCAGAAAATATCAAAACCGAAAAAAGAGGCTGGCTGGATTCGGATTCGGATTGGGGATAGTGGCGTAGATAGCTTGTAGATAGACGTAGATAGATGGTCGTGGCACGGACATTGGTTTACTCGCTGACCCTTCTGACGCTTTTTCGGATCTTAGCTTTCAGCTGCCCTCATCTGGTCCCCTGGTCGCTGGTCCCCTGGTCGCTGGTCCCCTGGTCGCTGGTCCCCTGGTCGCTGGTTTTCAAGTTCAAGGTCTCCCAGAATAGGATCGCCAGCGGCGGCTGGCAATCCGGCAGCCGGCCTCTTCGTGGCCTGGGGGATTAGTACCCTTCGGGGGAAGCCAACGGCTGTTTTTGGACCCTCGCGTCTTCCGGATCTCTCTATCCGTCCTAGCATACAGGTGAGCACTCATATTTTCTCTTCTTACTTTCTCGCTGACGATCTTACGTTGCAGATACACCATGATCTTTGTGCTCATGCATCCGAGATGTCAGGCGAGTGATCGGTATTCCCATGCCTTTTCCTGCAGCTGACGTATGATTGCAATTCTACAGGAACGAATTATCGCGCATAGGACACTTCAGTCTGTCCCTTGCGCAATGCGCTACCTCAAGCTCGTGTTCTGCCGGCGGTCCTTGAACAATCGTTCGGTACGTTATTTCGTGTTCATGTATTCACCGTAATCACCACAGTCGCCAATGTGCCCGGTGCGACCATGAGTGGTGTTTCGAAAGCGTCCCGGTCTTGTATACTATCGCGTATCATGAAACAGTATTTCACTACTTAGTCGCGGTGGCCTGGTATCGTGATAGCGAAGCGCAACGACACGGTAAAGGTGCAAGTAAGTACCCTTGTAAGTCATACGGGACTGCAAGATGCCCGGCGTCCACGCTTGTGGGACGCCGAAGGCGCATTGTACGAGTGCCAAGCTCCTTGTGCAGGGAAACATGGTCAAATGCCCATCCCGGTATAGATCTAACGAATGAGTACTCAAAGGTGATTTCGTGCTTCTTCGTCACTTGCGCCAATGCGGAATATCAAGCCCTCCAGCTTTGCGATCCCGATGCGAGTCTATAGAAGTACATGATGTGCGGACCAAAAATATATAGAATGTCGTCGTGCGCTCCCCCCGCACTAGCTGAAGCTCGACGCCCGTCTTCGCTCAAACGCGTACTTCTCCTCGCCCTCTAGCCCGCGCAGCCGACTGCCCGCGACGAGCAGCGCCGCGAAGCACTCGCGGTACCGCCGGACCTCTTCCATCGCCGTCTCGTCGCGCAGCTCCTCGGCCGGCGGCGGGGGTGATAACACCTTCTCCTCGTCCAACGTCGGGCGCGACTCCTACAAAAAACACACGGGACGTCAAACCCCAAAAAAACCCCGCCCGACAATCAGACAGAAGAGAAAAAGAGAAAGAGTCGCGCGAGCCAGAGGAAAGAGAGAGAGAGAGAGAAAAGGGAGGGGAAAAAAAACCACGCACCCTGATCTGTATGTTGCGATCCGCCTTCAGCAAGGTCTGCATGCGACTCCCGTGCGGAAGATACGCGATCAGCAGCCGGCGCGCGTGCGCCTCGAGCTCGACCGCGAGCTCAACCATCTTGTCCGCGAGCTCGAGCTTGTCCGCGGGGACGTCCGGCGCCTCGTCTTCCCCCTCGGCCTGCCGCGAGTCGGGTGACGCGCCGCGCCGTGAAGGGTCGGGCGAAGACGCGTCGGATCCGGGGTCGCTCGCGTCGCGCCGGCGCATCTCCCACAGCCTGTCGAACCGCCTGACGAACTCCGCGTGGCTCTTTTCCGTCGGTCCCCCGTCTGGTCAGATGCAAGGAGAGAGAGAGGAGGAGAAGTGATTAACGCACGACGATCGGCGCGTCCCGCACGCTCGCCGCCTCGGCGTCTTCGACGGCGATGAGCGCCGCGAGCTGCTTGTCGAGCCGGTAGCTTGAGAAGCGGGTGAGGATGGACGTCATCGTCTGCACCGCGAAGGAGGCCATGATCGGCACGGCGATGAGAGAGTAGACGATGAACACCACTGCGAGCGCGGCGTATGACTCGTCAGCGCGACGAGGGATAAAGCGGACGATGAGAGAGGCTGACCGCGTCCGCCCGGTGTCACGGGCACGACGTCTCCGAACCCGATGGTGAGGAAGAAGAGGTAGCAAAAGTACAGGCTCGTGCCGTACGGCCAGCCCTACGATCACCTCGCGTCAGCGCGCGGGCGTCGGAATACGGATCGATATACAGTTTTTTTCCGCACCTCGATCGCCCAGAAGATGGCGCCGCCAACGAGCCAGAACACGACGAATCCGCCAAAGCTGAGCGCGACCTCCGTCGCCTGGTCGGCCGTGTCCTGCAGGTGGTGTAGCCGCTCGAGGAACGCGACCTCGCGCGCGAGATCGTCTCCGGCGCCCTCTTGCGCGAGCCGCCGTTCGCGAAGCGCTTCGAAGTGGGCGCGGAGTTTCGCCTGTGTGCGGGCGGATGGGTGCGATCAGGGCGGGGGAGGAGGTTCTAGTATTATGGTAGGTGGAACGACGCGTACCTTGCGTTGCTCGCTTCTGGAAGCGAAGAAGCGGATGAGCATCTCGATGATCGAGGCGAGGGAGGCAATGCCTGCAGAACCAAAAAAAAACGCGCTTGAGCGTGAGTGGATCCGACGTGACGGTGGGTGACTTGATAGTCGGAATGCTGACCCAAGAGTGCGAAGGGGAAGAGCAGCACGCGCGCGGCTGCAGTCGTCGGCAAGAAGTCGCCAAAGCCGACGGTGAGGAAGCATACGATGGTGAAGTAGATGCCCTCGAGATACGTCCAGTGCTCCTACGTCGTCGGGTATCGTGAGTCGGACGGGGAACGACAGCAGGCGAGAACAAGAGCTCACGATGCGGGAAAAGACGAGAGCGCCGATCGCGATGAGCGTGATGAAGTACGTGCTGTGGAGCATGTAGTGGCGCCCCGAGACGTGGATCTTATGGTTGATCTGCAAGTTATTTATCAGCGCCCGTGCTCGCGAAGAAAAGCGAGTAAAGGAGGGAAACTGACCGGACGGCCGTGCCGCTTGTCGCCGAGCTCGGACCACCAGTGGAGGAACAACAGGAGGAGGATGACTCCGGACAATATGCAGGACACCACTCTATCCGCGCACACTTTAGCGAACCAAGGTCCCGGGGGGGGGGGGGGGGGGGGGGGGTTGGTCGAAGAGCAGGAATGGAGCGTGAAAACGGAGAATACGCACGCACACCAGAACCCTTCGTAGTACGAGAAAGTGGGCTGGTTCCGGGTGAGGAGGCCGAACGTGATGAGATTCGCGAACGAAGTGGCGACCTGGCGTCGACGGGAACCTTTCTCAGTTTGATATGCGCGCAAGTTAAGAGGATAGCAGAGACACGCGCGTACCTTCAGCCCCCAAAATGGGACGCTGAGCCTGGTCGCGAATCGCGATGCCCGCGCCGTCAACGAGAACCGTACGATCTAAGGTCCACGCCCGATATCTCAGTTCAGCATCGCCCTCCTTCTCTCTCTTTAATTCCACACCGGGAGAGAGACGCACGAGAAGCGCGTTGGCGATAACGTTGAACGCGAGCCCGACCGCCGAGAGCGTGAGCGACGCAGGCGGATCCGCGATAGTCTTCCCATCCCTCCTATACCACCGCTCCTGCGCACGACCCGCCCGTCGTCGTCAGCTGCGCTTCCACGATAGCGGAAAAAACAAACGAAGCCTCACGGACAGGGCCGGGATATCGAGCAAGACCGAGAGCGGCGCGAGCACGGCGGCGAGCACGGGCGCGACGACCGCGAGGCTGTGGACTCGCCTGCGCCAGTCGGCGGCGCGGACGAAGCTGCGGAGGCGGGAGGTGGTCGTTTCGAGGATCATCGAATATGTGTTGGTAGCCCGCGGAGGACTAGAGCAGCATCGCAGACGGTCCAGGGAGCCCAGGAGGATAGGGATGGTCGAGCGGGTGCGGGAGGCATGCCGGCTTGCCGAGGACCCGATGGCGAGGGAAGTCCCGATTAGGCAAGATGACGTCGGGGACCAAAAGCGTTCAGTAACACAAACATATGGCTGAGGATGAGGGTATCCGAGAGGCTCTACACGATGTTGTTACGATACAAGAACGCGCGCTCTGGCGCTCGACAAATAACCTACAAATGGAATGAGCGGATGGCGGGAAGAAAACAACGTACTCTACAACAACAACAACGATATCAAAAATACGGAAAGGACAAACATCGAGAAAGTCGGTGATATACATTGTCGGGCCGTGCGCCAAGCCGTCCTCTTTCCTGCGTTTTTTTTTCGTCCTACCCTTCAAGGACTGGCTCTCAGCACCCTCAACCGCCGCATCTCCACCTCCGTCAACGATATCTTCCATGTCTCCTCCCCCCCCTCCCCCTCGCGCACCTCGCACTCCGCAAACGCGATGCCCGAGTCGCCCTCCTCCGACCACGTGGACCCGACCGCCTCGACGGCGCCGGAGCACACCACGACGTCCGCGCCCGGCCCCGCGATGAGGCTCCGCACGGAGAGGCACAGCCGGTTGCCGAGCACGGACGCGAACGCGACGCTGAACCCGATCGGGACCTCGAGGGCCGATTCCTTGTAGGGGGAAAAAGAAAAGAAAAAACAGGGACCGAAAACAAAAAGAGGCACACACACGCGCGCGCATCAGCCACAGCGCGAGTACGGAAAGAGGGGGGGGAAGAGGGAAGACGCACCGAGCCGAGGAACCAGACCATGGCGTTCGTGAGGTACGTCGCGAACATGACCACAAAGTACACCACGCTGTCCCGCACCAGCACGTCCACGAGCTTCGTCCCGCTCTCCCACCACCGCGACCTCCCCCCCGCCCCCGCCTCCGCCTTCGCGCCAAGGGGAGGAGGAAGCGGCGGGTGCGCGACGTGGTACGCGTGCAACCCCCGCCCGAGCGCGAGGACGCAGAGCAGGGCCTCGAAGACGATGATCGGGATCCAGAACGTGTAAAAGCGCGGGGACACGCCCGCCGGCGCGCACGTCTGCATCGCGCGTGGCGTCGTAGGGAGCGTCACCACGATCGCTGGGAAAAAATGAACACACACACGCGCGTCTTTTCGTTGAGAAAATCACGGATTTCGAAGAACGGGGAAATGCAAGTCGGAGGTAACGTACCGGTGGCGCGGGAGAGGACGGCGCCCATGATGGTCGCGCTCGCCGCCGTCGCGAGCGCGAAGGCGGCGAGCATGAGCCCGAGCACGCGCTTGTCGAGGTGGTAGAGCGCGTACAGGCGGAGGAGGAGGATCACTGTGGCAAGCGCGTGTGTGTCGTGAGCTTCTACCCCGAAACGGAGACGGGCGTGATCGAGCAGGAAGCCAAGTGTACGCACTCTCGGCGAGCATGACCGCGATGAGGCCTGTCCAGCCTTGCCAGTGCAGCCAGACGGCACAGAGGCCGGGCGAGAGCGCGTCCGAGAAGAGGATGTAGTTGTTGAACCTGTGGGACACCGCCGGGCGGCTCACGATCAGGACGGAGAAAAGGGCAAAAGAGAGGGAAGCAGCGGGGAGACGCACGCGACGGTGCAGAGCGTGTAGTACCGGTTCGCGAAGAAGAGCGCCTTGCCGAGCGACCACGCGCCGGTCCAGACGAGGTCGACCTCCTCCCCGAACGTGAGGACAAAATCGAACACGATGATGGCGCTCGACGCGACTAAGCAGGGGCGCCGTTTGCAAGATCTCCAGACGTCAGGGAGAAGGAAAAGGCGAGAGAGAGATCACGCACGCTCAGAATAGCGGACCATCTGGACGTTGCGCACCGCGCTCGCGACGGCGGACGCGTACGCGCTCGTCGCGTCCGTCCCGTTCATGGCAGCCAGTGCAGCCACCGCGGTCGTGTCCAACATCGTCCCACCCGCACCCGCTCTTTTTCCTTCACTTGCGGGGTGGATGTCCGGGGCGGGGACAAAGACGGCGAGAGAAATACGAACACAGGGCCGTCCGACAGACAAAGGGATAGTTTAATAAAAAGGGCCCCCATCGGATACTGTCGGGCAACGTTCCATTCCAGGACGCGTGTCGACCGCCCATCCGGACGTAGGCCCCGTAAAAGGCAAACGGAAGGCTAACAGACGGCTGGCGGATGGGCAGGCAGACAGCAATCCGGCGCGAGCTAGCCCCGGGTTTGCAGCACCGCACTCGTTTTGGTTCCGACCCCCAGGGCGCGCGGAGATATTTTTTACACCGGTCATTCTATGGGGCGGCTTTCGTTGACAATTGTTGTACGTAGCAGTAGCAAAGCAGTAGACTCGTGTCAAGGGCGAGAACAAGTTGGGTGGTGAGAAAATGGGACGATGACGCCACGCGAGCGAGTTTGGGCTCGCCGAATTTGGACTGGCGTCCTCATCAACGTCAACCGTACTTAATCTATGTACCCGTTAGGATCTGAAATCTCAGCGCAAAGCGCTCAAGTAACATGTCATTGAACTGCTTCATCGTATGCAGCGATCGCAGCTGCCAGATCCTCCGCGGTCGGCTTCGGCGATTCCACCGCCACAGAGAGACGTAGATGATCCTTGAGAAACGCGGTGGTCGTAGGGCCAATCGCGGCAGCTAAAGCTCGTCTTGGCGCCTGTCCAAGCGTAGGCGTCGGGGCGTCGTCGAAGGCGAAATGTTGCTGGAGGAAGGGGAAGGTGTATCCTGCGGACGAGGGCGCGAAGAACACGATCCACCAAGGCCGGGAGTCTGCTGCACAGAAGTGTAATGAGCTACGCCTACGGGGTATATCCAGAGCGCGGGCGCTACGCACCTGGGTCGCTAGAGGCGAGGACACTATCCAGATCGGCCGGGAACGTCGACGATCCGCGAGTCCCGTACACTTGAAGCGAGTCCAGTTGCAAGCCGCCCTCGGCCAAGATCTTCGGCAGCACGTCCCGGTTTTTGTCCCCGGTCAGGTAGAGCAGCCGCCGGTTCCGTGGCCCGTCGCTCGCGCCGCCGATATCGTCGAGGACGAAGCGGGCGAGCGTTTCGGCGGTGCCCGCTTGCCGCGCCCCGCGGACGTCCTCCGGAAGCAAGTCTCGACCGCGCGTGCGGACGTCTTCGTCGACGTCCAACAGCGCGGCTTTCGTCGCTTCGCCGACCACGTAGAAGGGGGTAGACGTCCAGGTCACTGTTTCGCGTGGCGCGCTTCAGTCTCTCCCCCGCCCCTGCCGAGCGGAAACGGAGGGCAAGAAAAAAGGGCAGGCACGGCTCACCACCACCACCACCACCGCCCACCTCCCGTCGCTCCAGTACCCGGCGGACGGACCGCTTCCACGCTTCGCAAGCCCTGGCGCTCGTGATGACCACTCCGGCGTACTCTTTCCCGTTAGGCCCGCCTTCGACCGCATCGGCGAGTTCGTCTCCGTTCGATAACACGGTCTCGAGAACCGGGATGCACACCGGGTCGTAGCCCTTGTCGCGCAGACATAGTTCGTATCGATCGTCGCTATCGCTCGCAGGCGCTCGTAGTAGGAGGACACGTCCTTTCATGCTTCGCTACCTCGTAAGGCGCGCCGCGCCAGAGCGAGAGGATGTCAGAGTCATGGACGAAGAAGCACATTATCGTGGGGAGAGAGCGACAAGACCCAGTACAGGCCCGTGTGACTTGCTATATTTCGACGGTACTGTCGCACAGTAGATAGTTATCATGTACCACAGCCCAAAGGTGACAGGACTTTCAGAGGCAAATTCACGATACACAAGTGCAATATTGTACAAGAGCAGGGCGTGTCCGAGATGCTGATAAACGGATTCCGCTCGGCGTGAGATCAACGAGTTCGAAGAACGTACCGATTCGATCGCTCCAAGGATGGACATGGCGAACGGGGACCACGAGGCGCGTTTCCCAGGGCCCCGCGGAGGGGAGCAGCGCACAAGATGGGCCGCGGTTGCAGGTCGTTCCTACGATTCGGGAATCACACGTTAGCGTCCGGAAAACAGCAAAAGTGCACCGATTCGTCGCACCTGATATTTCCAGACGAAGGGCAAAGATCCGGGCTATCTGTAACGCAGGATCGTCAGCGAGAAAGTGAGAAGAGAAAATATGAGTGCTCACCTGGATGCCAAGACGGAGAGAGAGATCCGAAAAAAGCGAGGGTCCCAAAACAGCCGTTGGCTTCCCCCGAAGGGTACTAATCCCCCAGGCCACGAAGAGGCCGGCTGCCGGATCGCCAGCGGCGGCTGGCGATCCTATTCTGGGAGACCTTGAACTTGAAGACCAGCGACCAGGGGACCAGCGACCAGGGGACCAGGGGACCAGCGACCAGGGGACCAGATGAGGGCAGCTGAAAGCTAAGAACCGAAAAAGCGTCAGAAGGGTCAGTGGGTAAACCAATGTCCGTGCCACGGCCGCCTATCTACGTCTAATTACAAGCTATCTACGCCACTATCCCCAATCCGAATCCGAATCCAGCCAGCCTCTTTTTTCGATTTTGATATTTTCTGATTTTTTTTCGGGTTATCTTCAAGTTGCGCAGTCGCACGGACATCCCATCGAGCGGCGTCCCGAACTCGACCTGCAAGAAAAGAATTCGAATGAGCGAGGGTTGGTAACATCGAGTCGAAACAAGAAAACATACCGATTGTCCCGTACTGCATGCCGGCGCACCGACTCGGCCAAGATGCGTTGCTGAACGAGCGTCCGGGCGATCGCGGCGTCCCGCTCTCGACCCAGGCAACCCGAACACCAACTCCGTCCCTCGTCTTCGCCCTCGAGAGAATCCCCGCCCGTGGCCAGGGACCATCTGGCGAGAAACGCACGACGACGCCCGAGAGCATCCCCGGCGCCCTCCCCCGTCTGCGTCCGCCGCGCCGGTCGTCGTGCGAGGCCCCTCGAGCGAGCGAGATTCGGGCTCCAACATCCGGCGTCGCCTTCCGTGCTTTCCCGTCGGCGTTAGGAAGATCGGGGGTCGTGTCACCTCCTCCAGGGCCGACGCCGCCGACGACGTCGACCCCTTCAGGCCCGTAGAGGTGCACTATGCCTGTGGGACTCGCGCTCCAGTCCCAGAAACCATCGGGCGGCGTGCCCGAGGCCTCGCGAAGCCGACCTCAGTCGAAGCCGGCCTTCGCCAGGGCTTGAAAGACGAAAGTATAGTACTCGCCCTGCAGAGTCCGGTCAGCACGCGCAAAGACGGGCTGGTGACGCGAGCGGACGTACCCCGTATCTTGCCGCATAGGCTTCCGCGATCTGCCAAGGGTCCAAGCGAGCCCCGGTACCGATGAGGGCCTGCAGCTGGGCAAGGACGGTAGCCTCATCAGGTCCTAGGGTCTTCCCTGCGTGGAGACCCCCCGTTAGCCCCGCGTGCGAGGGAGATCGTAGGGCAAGAGCGGACGTACTGGTACCCCGGAGTTTCATCGCCATTCCCCGAAGCCTCCGTGTGGACGATGAAAGCTTCGGGAACGTCGGCATCCTGAGCCTGAAAGCGGAGAGCTCAGGAGCGCGCGTGTGGGCCCGCCGCGCCTCTGCTTGACGGGCGAGCGCCTCCTTCTCCCTGCGCAGCTCGAGGACGTCGATGCCTTGGAGACGGTGGACGTCGCGGAGTTGGTTGAATCGCCATTCGGCTTCCTCGAGGTCTTCGGCGTCGCCGTCGATGGTGTCCTCCATGAGAGCGATGACCCGGCGGAGGGCGGTGGCCTCGAGGCGAAGGGCGGTTCGAACGTCGAGAGGGAGAGCGTCTTGATTCCATCGGAGGACGATGTAGTTGGAATAGAAGACGGTGTACTGGCGGAGCATGTCGGTAGGGTAGTCGGAGATCATTCTAGATTATAGGTGAGTGGTAGTATGGGGAGTGCGGGTAGGAAGGAGATAGGTAGTAGATAGGGAGGTGTGTGTAGGAAGGGGATGGGTGGTAGATAGGGGTGTGCGTGTAGGAAGGGGATGGGTGGTTAGATGAGGGGTGGATCGGGAGGTGCGTGTAGTAAGGAGATGGGTGGTAGATGGGTGGTAGATTGGGATGTGCGTGTAGGATGGGAATATGCGTGTAGAATTGGGATGTGCGTATAGGATTGGGAGACGACGATGGTTGGGACTAGAATGCTGAAGATCACTACGAGCAGAACACTGGGTTTTTATACATCTGGAGGGCGGAAGAGAGGAAAGGGCGGATATACACCTCGTCCCGACGCGGGACGCTGACCGCGCGCGGCGACGGGACGAGGTGGATGTGGACGCGGAAGGAGAGGATGAGGCGCATCCCCGCGCCGCGGACCAGCCTTTCCGCTCGTCTACGTGAACAGACTTTCGTCACGCTTTCATGCTGCCACAGCTGCTTTCTGATATCGTATCAGGGGGTCAAAGGTCTCGCACCTAACGATGCACACTAATGTTGTGCGAGTAATCCTGCCGCCCGTGTCTGCCATCATCATCAAATATTCATCACCGACGCCGACCGGAACTACTTGGCATCGCAGTCAGCGGTGACCGCAGTTTTCAGGCGCCTGTTTGCGTACTTATCTGGACGGTGCTCACGAGACGCCTTGATACTCTACGCTGTTCGCCATGAACTCCGGCCCTATTCAACTCAACTTCCCTAAACGTACTCGATTTGCAGGAGAATTGCTCCTGGGGTCCGTGGACATCAACGTCAAGGAGGCGCAGCAGGATGAAATCGACCATGTCAGGGTCAGAATCAGAGGTTCGTTACAGACGTGAGTTTCCCCTGGGTGCATGATCCTCCCTCGTCCTCTACTCATATATATCCCGTTGATAGTAAGATCAAGCGTTCGAACGGCAAAACGACCACCACATATCGCTCAAATGTCCCCTTGATACGCATCGATATTCCACTCTGGCAGCGCGGTAAAGCGTTCCCTCCACCCGGCACCCATATCCTCACGGTGCCATTCAAATACCGGCTCCCGGCCGATCTTCCTCCGTCGTTCCACGCCAAATCGTCGAGAAAGCAAGGGGTGGTCACCTACTTTCTCGAGGTCGTAGCGACGCGTCCGGGCATGTTCCAGTCCAATCGTCGGGTGCGGGCGATGATCGCGGTGGTACCTGCGGGCATACCGGAACATGTGACGCTCCGTAACGACCTGGCTGGCGGCTGGAGCCCCCATATGCCGTGGAAGACGTACGTGTCCGACGCTGCCATTCGAACGGGGATCTGGGCAGACTACTCGCACGTGAAGGTCGTCGTGCGTGTTTTCTCACTGACCTCGCCCGTCCATCGCCGGACATTCTGACGAGGGGCTCAGTTTCGCGTTCCCGATATACCCGCGTTCCCCATCGGCACCCCGATACCCGTCCAGCTGGACATCGTCACTAAGACCAGACCACTGAAGCCGTCCGAAATACCCGCCGACGGAGCGCCCGGAGAACCCCTCTTCCCCGCGCCACCGACCGTCCCTGGCCCGATCACCCTCAGATTGGACCGCCTCACGAGGATCGCAGCCAGCGGAATCTTCAGCACCGTGTCGGATAGCATGAAAGACCACGTCGCTGATCTAGGCGGCTTTGGGTCCAGAGCACCCTCCATCCGCCCCTCTCCTCGGGAAAACCTCCGCTCCTGGCAGGACGATCCGACTTGGACGACCGTCACCGAGGAAAAGAGAAGCGGATTCTTGGGAATGAGCAAGGAGACGGTCGAAAAGCGGATCTGCAGACGCGCCTCGCACTTTGCGACGAACATGGTGTTCACGTGTCCGCCGGCTTTCCAGACCAAGATGCTCGGGACGTCGGTCAGTGGCGGACGTGATTCACGCTCGAGACCGGCACTCACGCCTCGTCTATCCTGCAGTACAAGCTTCACCTCTGTGTACCGTTTCCAGGCATCGGCAACGACGTCAAGCGCGACATCGCCATCAACATCGTTTCGGGATCGCTGCCTCCGTCGCACAACACGGGAGGAGCGAGCACGTCCGGGCAACAGCCAAGCGCGCCGGTGATCAGCACGCCTGCTCCCTCAGATCCGCCGGTTCCAGCCGTGGTGCATGACCTGGACGTGGAGACACAGCAACCCCCTCCTCCCTTCAGCGAAGCGGTTCTTACGATGGACTTGCCGCCGTGAGTTTCAGCGAAAGACTAGCCATGGGTTTCGTGGGCTGATACATCTTCAACAGGGCATATTGGTCCGCCGAGGACCACGATTTCGACGCGGACGAGAAAACTTGAGACGAGCAACATACGAGTATGAAGAGCCCTCTGTCCGGTCTCCCGAGGGTAAGCATACCTCCTACAACGACGGACACCACGAAATAAGCCTCTGCCGGCCTGTACGACAGCTTTCTGGCGAAGTATGCTGATCGTCATAGCATACGCGACACCGCCCCGTGTACGTCGTCCATCATGTATTCCCTGGCTTGTTTCCACTCCCTTGACTGGCATATGTTCTCTCCCACTTGACCTGTCCAAATGCAATATAAGAATAATCTCCTGCCTTTCTATTGTCTGACGTCAAGCCGCACGGCGGGAGCGCCAACTCGCAGGGATACATGACGGCAGCAGAGGTTTATGTCCGAACGCGTCACCCTCATTCGCGCCTAGTCGCTCTCCTCTCTTGAAACCTTGAACCCCCAGCTGCCCACCAGCCCCTTCATACACCCCGGCTCCATCCGACCGAGCAGCCCCTCGCTCCTCCTGCCTATCCCAAGGTCCACTAGCAACGCATCGACGTAGCTCACGGCGTCGAACACCATATCCGGCACGCGTCCTCCGTACCCGGCCACATACCGCCACCTCCCGAAGCGGTTCCATACGAGCGCCCGTTTCTCCGCCTCCGTCTCGTCTGCAGGCAGGCGAGAGGGTACGAGTCGACCGTGGAAGTAAGCGGCGATCCACAGGGCCTGCGCTTGCGCCGTCAGCGCGGTGGATATGGTGTAGACCATGCCGGGGAACGCGATATCGCGACGTACGCCCTCGCGAAGCGAGGAGGGCGGGACGAGGAACCTGTAGAGGCGGGGCTGAAAGGAGATCTCGAGTCCGTCCGGCGGCTCGAGCGCCGGCGTTCGGTTCGCCCCGGGGTACTCGAAGTGCGGTTGGTGCCGTAATCGAGGAAAGCGCGCTAAGATCTCCTGATCCGCGTCAGTCGTCAGCTTCGTCAGGTGCCTAGCGATACGCGCGTCCGGGGCACAGGAGAAGGGGAGGCCCAAGGCGGCAGAGCTTCCCCCGGGGCCGGAGAAACGGATGGGCGGGTGCGCCTTCCACCCGGTAGCGCAGCAGACGACGTCCGCCTCCAACGCCTCGCCGTTCGCGAGGCGAACCGCGCGTTCCGACAGGCGGTCGACGTCGGCGACGTGGACGCGTACCGCGCCGCCGCGCACGAGCTGCAGAAAGTCCCTTTCGAAGTTGAGGACGCCCAGGCCGTTGCCGGTCCAAAACGCCGACGTCCACGGCTTCAGCTTGGCCGTCTCCGGGTGCCGGTCGTAGCCCACCAGGCTCAGCACGTCGTGGGAGAGCACGGCCCAGAAGGCGTCGACGATCTTGCGCCCGAGCCACGTCCCGTGGAGGAACCGGCGGGTGCGCACGTAGCCGTCCTCGTCCCCCCACGGGCAGGGCGAGAAGAGCGTGAGGAGGCGGGTGTGCACGAGCTTCTCTAGCCATAGCTTGAAGGGCGTGACGTACGCGGGCGACATCCACGTCGGGCCACGGCCGGACGCGCGGATGACGAGGTCGACCGGGATCGGGGGATCGGCGGTCGCGTAGGCATACGCGACGTCCCACGCGGACTTGCTCCCACCGATCACGGTGACGGACGACGGGCGATTGTCGCTGTCCGAGAGGGTAGACGCGTGCAGCTTGAAGTCGCGCGAATGGAAGAGGAGTCCCCGGTAAACGTTCGCGCCCGGAAAAGAGGGAAGGTGTGGTTCGGACGTGAGGCCGGTCGCGACGATGAGCTTGCGAGCTAGCATCTGGAACTCGGCCTCGTCGTTGGACGGTGTGACTGTCAGGACCCAGCCCCCGTTCTCCTCGCGGACCGCGGACGACACCTTCGTGCCGAACCGTATGCGCTCGTAGACGCCGAAACGCTGCGCGAAGCGCGTGAGGTAAAGGTGCATGACCCTCCCAGGTATGTGTTCGCCCGGGCGCACGCCGAACGTGTCGGGGTCCATCGGGAAGCCGCTGAATTCGTACGTGCCGAGTAGGTTGTTCGACTTCAGGCCCGGATAGAGTCGCTCGGCAGCCCAGACGCCACCGACGCTGGAAGAGGAATCGAGGACGATGAGGTCGCATTCCGGGTGGAGCTGGAGGTAGGTCTTCGCGGCGGCGAGGCCATACCAACCTGGCTGTTGTTAGCAAAGCTTCTGCCGTCGTGTACGGGACATACGGCGCACCTGCACCGACTACTACGACGTCAAATGTTTCCATCTAGACGGCGCTTTCAGAGCGTTCGGTCGGGTGTTGCGGAGGTCTGTCTCCCTGAGTGGAAGGGGACACGCCAGAGCATGTCGGTCGATTCCACCCGCTCTTGACATATCGCGTGCCCCGAGCTCCGAAATTCCGAAATGTCCGGATCGTTACTTACATGGTCAGCGTCCGCTGGTCGAGGAACACGGCCAAATCTCGAAGCTTGAATCCCTAAAGCTTACTTAACGTAAACGCGTTACGTCACTTCACGTGATGATAGATGTTCCCAGGATGGGTTCCCACCTGGCTGCAAGTTAACGCAGCGGTGAAGGACGGCTTTGAATATGTAAGAAATGCCAAAGTCAGCACGAAGAAGGTTTTAGCCAATGTGCTTGGAGTCGACTAGCGTAGACCGCGGCTGTCGTTTGGCCGTCGTCGCGATCCGGTGTGTGATGGCCGGGTGTAACGGAGCAAGTAGCACATATATTAGCACACAGAAGCGTAAAGCCAATCACGAATACATCCCAAGGAGAAGAGCAAAAGCAGCGAGACCAGGAAACGATTTCTACGCAAAATGGATGCCAGCGTCGTGGAAGGCCGACAATAGTCTGAGAGATAAGTCAGCATCATCGCAATACTTGTACCAGGTGAAGGGCGGCGTGACGAACATGAGCAGGTCATTTACGGTCATCTTTGCGGCACGGTTCTCCGAGTTTTGCGTCTCATCGAGGACTTTCTGCACCACGTTTTTGATGTCGAAGTCGTCCTCGACGATCTAAAAAAAAAACGATCGTGAGCATGCCTAACGATGTAAAAAAAAAAAAGGCCCAGCGATCTGCCGTACCTGATCGCGCTCAGAACACCACGTCCTATAGTTCTTCTCCAGCATCTCCATCACGCCCTTCGCCTGGAAATTCGCGTGTACGGTCTTGTGCCTCCGCCCGAAGATGATCCGCGTCAGCCCGTCGAACTCCTCGAACCGCACGGGCGGCGGCGGGTCGAGCGGCACGATCCGGACCACGCTGCTCTCCACGTTCGGCGCCGGGCGGAAGTTGTTCTTGCCGACCTTCATGATGTGGTCGACCTTGGCGTAGAGCTGCACGTTCGCGGAGAGCCGGGACCAGAGGTCCGTCCCGGGTTGGGCGACGAGGCGGAGCGCGAACTCGCGCTGGAACATGAGGATGGCGACGCGGAAGAGGGGGCGGTGCGAGAGGAGGCGGAAGACGAGGGGAGAGGAGATCTGGTAGGGCGTGTTGGAGATGCAGACGTCGAAGTAGGGCAGGTCGGCTTTGACGAAGTCGCCGATCATGATGGATAGTTTTCGCTGTTCGGGTCTGCGGGACCGCGTGAGCGAGCGCCTAGGGCAAAGAACGAGTCTGCGCTACGCACTTTCCCTGCACTCGTTTTGTGAGCTCTGCGGCCATGCGAGGATCCATCTCCACCGCTGTAACATGTTTTGCTTTTTCCAATATCCGCACCGTTAGATTACCGGTACCAGGGCCGACCTCGAGCACCTGATCCGTCGGCCGCAAGTTTGCCTAGGATCGTCGATTCAGACCGGGGTCGACTTTGAACGTCGAATATCGGCTATACCTTATCTACAATTCTACGCTCAATCAGAAGTGTCCAGTGGTATCCAAAAGTTCGACACTCACTCACCCCTGTGCAACTAGCGGGTTTTTGAGGATATGCTGTCCGAACCGTTCGGTATTGAAGATGGGGTTGTGCACCGCGCTAGACCCAGCACCGTCCGAGCTCTCCTTCGCCGCCGCCTTCTTCGCCGAAGGCTGGTGCGCGCGTATGAAGCGATCTGAAGTTGCGCGAGGCATCGTAGCAAGGGTTTGCAAGAGGCTGGTGTTGTAGCCTTCTAAGGCCGAAGAAAATGTGCGTGCCGATCCTGCCGAAGCGCGAAGGCACTTGCCGAAACGGGTTCCGCGCGAGTCCTCCCGGTCCGGGACCACTGCGGGGCTCCGGTTTGCTTGACATTATCGCCCGCGTCGACCAAACCCTTGTGGCTCTCCAGCAATCATGATAAGCACAACGAAGATAATATCTCGTTTGTCCCGACCAGCGGTACCGTTCCCTGGTCTCCTCAACAACAGCTGGCGCATATACCGCCGCAGATCACATTCGCATAGAAGCATGTCGACCATCGGGTGGTACGGTTTTGGTAACATGGGTGAGCAATATCATCGCGTCGATGTAGTGAGCGGCTCTGATACCAAGTCGTTCTGAAGGCGAAGGAATGGCCATGAACCTCCAAAAGCACCTCGCGGCTACCAAAGCGACCCCTCTCCTCGTCTACAACCGGTGGGTACGTACTCCGACGGTGTTGTTGAGAACATCGCTCACTTGACACGGCCATAGGACTACCTCGCGAACGGACGCGATCGTGGCCGCGGGCGCTAAACCGGCCCCGTCGCTCTCGAGCTTGGTATCTTCCTCTGACATCGTCTTCACCTGCCTCACGAACGACGCTACGGTCACTTCCGCGTACGAAGATATCGCTCGGAACGATGGGCTACAGGGCAAGGTCTTTTGCGACTGCTCCACGATTCATCCGGACACCTCGCGGTCGATCCAAGCCTTGCTCGCGAAACGGCGAGCCGGGTTCGTTGCGGCGCCGGTATTCGGTGCGCCTCCAGCCGCCGCCGGTGCGTCCTTGATGTCAAAAATCGCAAATCAACTCCTCTGACCAGCTTTATACAGCCGCGAAGCTCATCTTTGCTCTGGCCGGTCCCCCGGAGTACGTCGCCAAGATCAAGCCATATACAGAGGGCGTCATGGGTAGGAAAGTGATAGAGATGGGTGAAGATGGTAAGCCCCCTCATGCATCCGGCACTGCGCGTGTACTGACCCAGATCGGCTAGTCGGAAACGCTGGGTTAATGAAGATCACGGTAATGCCCGGGTCAGCCCTATCCATCGCCGCATTCGACTGATGAGAAGCGTTCCTGCGAAGGGCAACATATTCGTCATGACCGTGAACGAGTCGCTCGCGGAGGCGCTCACCTTTGCGGAGAAGTCGGGTTTAGGGCCCGAAAGGATCCACGACTTCGTGCAGGCCATGTTCGCGGGCACGCCGTACGAGCTGTATTCTAAGAAGATGCAGGCGGGTCAGTGGGTCGCTAAGGATGGTTCGTGGATTTTGCGTGCCAGGCTACCTTGAAGGCTCGTCTGACCCCAACTCTCGCTGTCTTCATAGGCGAAAAGCCCGGATTCAGCGCGCCGAACGCGCTAAAGGACATCAACCATTGCTTATCGTGCGTGTCATGTTAATTGCGACCTCATGGGTTGAGGATCTTACGCCTTCGTCAGTCTTGCGAAAGAATCCGGTGCTAGGATCCCTATCCTCGAAGCCGCTCAGAGGTCAGCCCTTCGTCGTGACCGGTCTGATAAAAGGTCCATTGCTGACGTTTTCTCTCATGCGCGTCAGGCATCTTAGTGCTGCTCTCGAAAAGCACGGAGAACAGGCTGATGTGAGTGCGATGTATGGCGCTGCTAGGGAGGAAGCTGGACTACCGTTCGGGCCTTCATGAGCTCTACTAAGCCTCGATGCACCTCGAACTTGAAGTGACGAGCGGGAAAATCATACGGTTGTGGAGGTTCAAAGAAGTTACCGACTTCGATCACTTGAAACCGTGCGATGGCCAGGTTGTGTTTCTTCCGCCCTTGTCCAATTTCTTGGTTTCTCTGCGCTGTTGACTCCAGCGACCAGCGGTTACACGATTTGGGACATACCTTCCCGGATTGTGCCTACCACGCCCAGTTGGGACACCGAGCTTCTAAACAGCTTGAACATACTCCGGTCTCCTCAACTTCCGTCTCCATAACTTCCGTTTCCTTTCTGCGGCAATCATATCTTCCCGCCTCTTGGTTTCTTGCTCACCGTTGTGGTGTGTGCTCCCACGCGGGCTCGACTCCGCACAGTTCAAAGAACTCGGAGGCGCATTTGCCGCGCGCCTCTCTCTCTGCTGAGTTGATGCCAATGGATGCAATACGCAGAATGTATACATTCGCGACAGCGCTCGTCTATAAGCGACCCTTCGTCGATGCCTTCCCTTCGACCTCCTGCGAATCCTCGGAGAAGGTCTTGGCCCCGCGGCGTACAGCGATCCGTGCCTGTGACTGTGAAGCTGTCCCGTCGATAACCCCTGTTGGGACCGCGACGGAATCAGCCGCATGGTAATTCATGGGGGTACTACCAGAGCATACGCCTTCGAAGGCTTCGCATACGGTGCGACATGTTGAAGCCGGTTCTAAGCTCGCCTCTGCGATTAAAAAAAGGCGACTACATTCAAATTGCTCCATTCATCAACGTTGTAGCACCTCAACCTCCTCTCTTCCCCATACCCAGTTAATCTTCAGACCAGGCAGTGCTGTTTCCAATGCTGTTAGCCAGCCTTCGGCGAGCCTCGCATGCATCACACAATTGATATGCAACTCCCTCAACCGACCATCGACAACACGATCCCTCAAGGCCGCGCCGAATGCTTTGATCTCCTCTCTAGCTTCCGTCGCTGGAAACGCGCGCATATCTCCCGGCCGCGTGTGGATATCACCATCCGTCAGCACTAACGTATGCATGTTCGGAAGCACGGAATCGGCATGTCCTTCGACAGGAGCCAAAAACGCTACCATCTCCGATAAGTCCCAGCCGATCGCGTTGATGCGTACCGTATGCACGCTCGTCATTTTCTTGGTGACAGCCAGCCATTCGGTATTCCGTCTTTCGGTATGCAAATCGACGACGAGGGTGGAGACAGACAGCGCCGCGAACGGATCCCGGATCCAGGCAAGGTGCGCCGCCACATCTTTTGCGGGCATGCTTGGCAACAGGAGCTCCGAATGCGCGCTCGCGGCACCTTGCGACATGAACGCCCGCAACTCGACGTCCCAGATCCCTTTCGACTCCTCGCGGCAGGCTATCTTCATCACAGCGTATCGAGGCGGCGCGGCGGCCGGGTCAAGAGAGATCTCGCGCTCGAAGACGAGCTGCCAGAGCTGGAGCCAATCCGCAGGCTGTGGTATCTCGACATCTTTGTGGAGTATCGACGGTCTAAGGGCTAGACCAACTCGACAGGTGACCGGCAGGCGGAGCAGGCGAAGGACAAATCTCGCTGCGCGGAAGTCCTGATGGGCGATGTCGAGATGTGCCATGCGCGGGTACACTATCGCGTGCACTTGTCGTATATCGTCCTCAGTGGTCCAGGAGGGAAGCGAGTCCAAAAGTGCAAGCTCCTGCAACTGCGGATGTCGGGCGAGGAGGTTGGCGATTTGCCCCAGGTCACCGATGACATTTCCAGCGTAGTTGGTCGGAATGTCGACCCAGACGTCTTGCAGGTCCATCTCCACCTCAAGACTTCGCAGATCGCGAGGTGACTGCAGCATGGCCGAGCTCCAGTCGATGCTACTCTTCGCGTACGCCAGCGATCGAAGTTTTGACCAGTCGAACTCGGCGAGCGTGTCCGGTGGGTCGGACATCCGACAGGAGCGCAGATGTGGGAGATAAAGGGTCATGGCGCGACGCAAGTCCTCCTTTTTTTTCTCGTAACCATGCATGATCAGACTCTCCACGCGAGGAGTCACGCTGCATGCATCCGTCGTCGAGCCTTTCGATGGTTGCGGCCAAATCTTCAGAGCCATGTTACCGGGGCCCAGTGGTTGTTCGTAATTGATATAAAGTCGTAGAGGTGCTGATTCTGCCCGACGCATCATTGCCATGGTACCGCCGTAGTCCTTCCAACTGGTTTTTAATTTGAGATTCACTTCGGACCAGAGAACACGGCAGCCGAGGGCCACGGCGCGCCAGTGACATGAGACATGAGTGACGCGGATCCAGTGCCGGTCTGGCGGTTCCATAGGATCGTACTGGTGATTATTTCGCACGACGATGAAGATAGCGCTGAGAACTTCGGATGGAAGACGATTGATAGGAAGCGTCATGTTCCTTTGTCGTAACGAGTTCAGAAGGTCTAGGGCCAAACGTGCAGATTGAGCCGCAAAGTCTTGCCAGTGTGCGACCTCAGCGCTCGGTTGCTCAAGTCTGGCTGTATTGTATCGGGGGCGTTTGGTGGCGGGACCATAGCCATTGTACGCTCCTAGCGTGGTGCATCGACACGATGTGCAGTGCGGTTCGGTGAGTGGGTGGCGTGATGTAGGCGCGCGACGTTTACACCCAACGTGAACACTTTGCAGCATCCCCTTTGACATCAGCTGCAGGGAATCGCAATCACTGTAGGTAGCACGCACGGATCATCCACCTCCTGCTCTCCCAATCCGTCGTTCTGAGCCCTTGCTTTGCTGATGGGATGACGCTTTCTCTTCGGCGTTGGGTTCACGGCCTTCTTTCCAGCTTGTACAACTTGACGCCTGGATCGTGTATCATTCCTCCTCGTTATGTTGCTAGATTGGACGGCGCCTCCTGTGCGCGGTCGTAAATTATATGGTTGCTTGCCGTTCATAGGTGCGTAATGTGCGGTGATGAAAGGGGAAATGCGATGTGGCCAGTCAGACATTGGCATTTTATAAACGGACTATCGAGTGCTGAATTCGTTGCGCTATTGTCTAGTGCTCCGATCGCGCTATTGTTCTCAGGGCGTATCTACAGCCGGCTTTCATGACAGTATTGTTGCAATTGATACTTTTGCGCGTACAACCTTGCGATTACCAGAGATAATAACAAGCAGGGTCATACCACCGAAACTGTATGTCGACGCCTGGCAACCCCGCCTTCAAGATATCCAACCACTCCTCCCGAAACACCTCATTCTTCCGGAAGGAGCTCAACCGTAACTCTTTCAGGGCGCCGCCATTTCCTGCGGCGCGCTCGGTCAATAATGCGACGAACGGCTTCACCTCTATCTCTATTTCTTTCGCTTTCTGTGCGGGAGAAAGGCTCGAGGGGTCATCGCCAAAGTCAACGCCTTGAAGGAGGATCGTATTTAGGTTGGGAAAGTAGCGCCGCTCCTTCGTGAGGTTTCGAAAGAACGTTGCGAACGTGGCCAGAGACCGGGGCCATCGCTGATGCGGCAGGATGAGAGTACGAACGTGCCTCATCTTCCTGACGGCGCCTAACCATTCGAGGAACCGCCGATCCAGGTGGAATCCGATCGACAACGAGAGTATGTCCACTTTCACGGGCGCGAAGGCTTCCTGGAACTGCGCTAGGCGATCCCTGATGCTCGGACCCTCGGGGTGCGGTATGCTTATGAGGGTATGTTTCGTGAATTGATTCCTCCGAAAGGTTACCTCCAGCTCGAGCGCGAAAGGATGCGGTTTGTGCAGGGACTCGGGGAAAGTCAGGTACATCTTCCTGTACCGTTGCCCGACGGGGAAGACAATACGCCACAGATGAAGGATATCGTCAGCGGTAGGAATCGCAGCAACGGACCCGCCTTCCGTCCCTACGATCTGGAGAGAGGCCCTGCAGGTTTGAGGCAGCTGTAAACGGCGGAGGAGGAAAACTACAGATCTGACATCGTACTCGAAGATGCTTAAGGATCTCAGGTGGGGTAGGGTGATAGGGGATTCGGATGTTTGCGAGGCGGGGACCTCCTTCCATGGAGGGAGGGTGCGACACAGATCCAGATGCTCTAACTGTTGGTTGCGCTCGAGGACGGCGACAACGTCTTCCAGGTCGCCAGAGATGGGGACTTTGTATATGTCGACTTCGATTACGAGTACGCGGAGATTTGACAGACTCCTCATAAGCTCCGAATCCCAACTCAAGGAGGGCGCTGCGGACACTTTCAGAACCTTGAGTTTGGGGAGGATCACCTGTAGAAGGGCGACTGAGGGCCAGGATACGTCATATGATAGCAGCTCCGAGGCATGTTGAGAAACCAGCCGGCAGAGCTGGTCCGATTCGGACGTGCGCCCATCGACACGGACGCTTGCCAAGCGGGGAGGAGAACCATGTACGCCTTTTTCGAGCGCTTCAAGCAGCGCTGTCTTCGCTACGGCGAGCGCTTTACGTGATCTCCATTCATCGGGGACATAGAGGTGCAGGGGTGTAAAATGTGCGCGGCGCATGAATTCTAGGGATGCGGCGGGTTGAGAGAGGATCAAGCGAGACCAGAGGGTATGGTCGGAGAGGGCCGTTACGCGCCAGTGATAGCAGACTTGAGAGACCTTGATCCAGTGTATATACTCCGGGTTTCGTACAAGGAGGAATATGCGACGAAGGAGGGCGTCTGGGAGAAGGTTGATAGGTGCCATATAATTCCTCTGCCGATGGAGTTTGAGGAGGTTCTCTTGCACCAGCAGCCGAGAAACACGATCCTTCGCCGCTCTTGCGATGTCGATAGTTGATCTCTGATTCAGTCGGCGCCGTTTGGTAGGGATCGGTTCGACATCAATAAGAAGACACGCGCATGTTTCGCAATGGCACTGAGACGCTGGGGTGACGTGGGAGAGCGAACGGCGACGTTTTCTTCCGGGGACGTCTGACAATCTGGAAGACGATACGAAGTCAGTTTACAGACGAAGGACAAAATTAGCGAGCGACGCACTGAGTGCTCGCCGAACCCGTCAATCTATGGAATGGGTGGCCAGCACAGGCCGCGTTAATCACTTCGATAGATTGGGTCAGGGTCCGCGACGCAAATTCGACGGATGCGGGTTGCCCGTTGGCAGCATCGATCATGTTCGGCACCTCCTTCAAGTTCCTCATTGCAAGATCAAAATTGGAGACGAGGGCGCTGCCCAGGCGGATAATCGCAGTGGAGCAAGCCGGAGGCGTTCTTGCATCCCGAGTAATCGAAGGGCTCCGTTGTCCAACCTGAGCCACCCGAGTGCGTGTAGTGGTCTTTTGCTCCGCGTGCGGCTTCCTTGCTCGCAGGTTGTACGGATGGTTGGTGGCCATGGTAGGGAAAGTCGGTATGATGGCTCAAGGCGCGATGGTTGAGGTGCGGTTGGAAAGAGAAATCGCCTCGGACCTGCTTGTCTCAGGGAATGGAACGAAAGGATTTGATCGGTATCCCGACCATCTGTCCTATTGTTCTAGCACTGCACAGATGCGGCCACGAACGCGGTTCAGCCACACCAAGCGGTTTAGATTTCGAGTCTATCATTTTCTCGGGATGATAGTACTTTTCAACGCCAGAGCATGAAGAAATCCTGTTTGGAGTTCGGACGCGTCGTCGCAGCTGGCTGAGCTGCAGTGCTGGACCGTGGACGGACCTGGGGGCTCTAAGTCACCTGATCGTAGCACGCGAGCCAATTTCAAATTGACCTTGACCTTTTGTTTTCTTCGAGGAAACGCTCTCATCCGTCCTCCCAAGAGACTCATTAGATCGACAGTTACCGGATGTCTATTGGAAATCACACTCTTGCCGTCGGGCTCATGTTCAGAAGCACTGGCTTAGGCTTGAAATGACGTCTGACCGGAGCGTCTCCGGGGAGGCATCTCGGCAAATGACGATGTCCACCATGAAACTCCCGTGCAGCTTTACGCGCCGGATGCGTTTCCAATGCCAGCATGGGATAATGCCAACACCTATTCTTGCGGATGGCTCTATGATTTGCTCGCCGCGGTCGACGGCGGTGAGCGGCAATGTATCTCCGTCGAATACTTAGAAAGTACGGAAGTCATTTGGCAACACGAGGCGGTTGTCATGTCGCAAATTGCGCTCTTATTGCTAAACCATTGGATATGCTCCATTTGATACTATGGTAAGTAAAGGGCACCACGCTCCGTTACTGATCGCGGAGAACCACCGCCCCCTCATTATCAGTCCAGAACCTATCTTTCAGTATCCGCTGAGGAAGAAAAAGACGTCCGTGAAGATCTCTGGCTGAGCGCGTTGATCCTGGACGACGTTTCGTGCGGGCTCAAGCGGGCTCGATCAGGTGGTCCGACAACTTTGCCATCAAACATCCGGGCCCAAAAATGTCCATCCCAGAGCATAAGGAAGAGCGTAATATGGCGTCGGTCTATTTTATATAACATTGCTACCCGTTACTTGGGATGATGTTCCGCATCGAGGCTGATTAGAGATTACTAAGGTCCGAACGGCAGCCCAGCTTCCTCCCTCGCTGCGCCGTACATCGCGCTGACGTCGGCCTGTTCCCCGTGCTTTTCGAAAGCGGCAGTGAGGTGTCTAATCGAACAAAAGAGAGAACGTCAGCGAGGACGCTAACATTGGACATGGGCGTGACTGAGATATCACACCTCTTAGCAGCTTCGAGGATGTACATCCGGACGCCGGACGCCTCAGCGAGACTATGAACACGTCATTCCCACATTCGACAAATGTAAAGCGCCGCGATACGCACGCTAAGCAGTGGTTGATGTCCTTCAGCCCATGCGGCGCGCTGCCCGCAGGCTTCTCACCTATGAGCACAACGAAAGTTCGGATTTATGAGCTTTCAGCGTGGAACGAGGAGGTAGTACACGAACCGTCCTTGGCGACCCATAGACGCGCCTGTATCCTCTTCGAGTAGTTCTCGTACGGCGAGCCCGGGAACATGGTCTGTACGAATTCGTGAACCCTGTCCGGCCCTAAACCCGATTTCTCCGCGAGGGTAAGTGCTTCGGCGAGGGACTCGTTCACGGTCATGATGAACATGTTGCCCTACGGTTCGTGAGTTGAATGTGAAGGTGACCGTAACTGACTCTCCGTACCGTAACCTTCATCAATTCGGCATTGCCAACTAGTTCAACGGGATTAATGCATGGGGAGATGCAGAGCAAGTGAGAAGAGCTACCGTCTTCACCCATCTCTAACACCTTCCTGGCCGTGACGCCTTCCGTGTATGGCTTGATTTTAGCCACGTGCTCCGAACGGCCGGCCAAGGCAAACACGAGCTGGGCAGCTGCATCGCGCTAGTCAAAAAGGCTAGTATCAAGGCATCGAATCTAGATTGACGCACCGGCAGCCCAGGCAGGAGCCCCAAAAACCGGAGCCGCAACGAAGCCAGCTCCACGTTCGGCGAGCCTGGCTTGAATCGATCGCGCGGTGTCCGGGTGCAGCGTCGCACAGTCGCAGAAGACCTTTTCCTGTAGCCCCTCGGTTTGCATGATATCTTCGTACGCCGCGGTCACCGTCGCATCGTTCGTGAGGCAGGTAAAGATAATGTCGGAGGACGATACTAGGCTCGACACCGACGGGGCGAGTTTAGCGCCAGCCGCAATGACGGCGTCTGTTCGCGAGGTAGTTCTATGATCGCGTATCATGGGCGATGTCGTCGCGAAGATATCTAAACGCCCACTTACCGGTTGTATACGATGAGAGGGTTTCCGCCCGTGGCCGTGAGGTGCTTCTGAATGTTCATGGCCATCGCGGCGCCTGCACGCAAACGTGAGCATTCGAACCTGAAGAGCACGTCACATACGTCATACTCACCGATGTTACCGAAACCGTAGAATCCGACGGTCGGCATAGTTCTAAGCCGATATGTTACGAGAGAGTGCGTGTACTGGGTGTTGTTGAGGAGATCCGAGGACGATGCTGATGTCGACCATAACCAGAGAGGTAATATACGTGGAGTGTCGGAATAATGGGGCCCGGGATGTTGCTTGTATGACTACCTGGTTGTCTTCTTTGAGTGGGTGCTGCACAAGTCCGGACATTTGCTTCCGGGATGCCTTTGCATGACGGACGCCAGATACCGCGCCTGACAGGAGCGCAGAGTCCCAGGCTCGTTTACCTCCGCTTCTTGGCGGTCATCCTGCTTACATGCGTTCTATTAGTCAGCCTTGCACCCACCGCAATCGAAGCCCCTCCAAAGGTCTATCTGGTAGTACGAGTCGGAAATGCATCTATCCGAGTTGTACATATATCCCTCTGTGATGCTTTAATGCCTTCGTCGACTCAAGAGCCATTCTTGAATACTCACAGTTCCACAACGTTCGTGTATCCAGATACCTGCTAGGCGTGGATCGGTGTGCTGGTGCCGCCGCGTTCCGGAATGTGCGCTGCACTTCCGATGTTGACGATACCTCCACTATCTGTAGAGGATCTTTGAACCTCTTCGCAAGGCCCGTCGTCTAAAGGGACAGGTCACCATTTTGTGTCGCGAGCGAGGGATTGGGAGGATAGGGTTTCCTGCTATGATGCCACCGACGCGTCTGCTCTATATGTACATGGCAGCTACACCGCCGTCGGGGAACTATCGCCGACGTCACAGTCCCTCTGCACAATCCGAGACTTTGGCAATCTACCTACCTACCTACCTACCTGATAAGTAGGCGCCGATGCTGAGTTCGAATCGCAGGGAGGCGCTACTGGGACTTCGTCGGCAATTTACCTACCTATTTACCTTACTCCAGGGCACCTGGCATCCAGACTACATAGCATGTCCAGGAGACCATCATGAATCGTGCAGCTTTACGCAGCGAAAGCCGGCTTGTCTACCCAGCGTTGATCCAGTGCTATGTAGCATGGGATACCTGTTCCCGCGGAGTAGCTATATTTGATCTCGGGTTCGTTTCGCCGTGGTGGGCAGTGGTGAACGGCAACATGTTCCTCATCGAAAAATAGCAGTAAGTACACAGGTAGGTAGGTAGGTAGGTATATTTCCGGCGCGGTCCCAATAGCGGAACAACCGGTTGCCGCACCGCACGTCAATACGCGCGGCTCGGCGCACACAGTGCATCCACGGCCCCCGTGAGCTGTTATACAGCCGACACGCCGCTTCAGCACTGGTGCAGGTAAACTAGGTACATGTATGTGCTACTATGTGCAATACATTACCTAGCGGCGGCCCACTTCAGCCGTCGTCGCGTGTCAATACAGGGACTTCCGATAGTGCAGGACGATTGGAAAACGAAGTCATTTGGCAACACGAGGCGGTCGTCATGTCGCGAGGTTCAATGCTGAACCCTTAGACAGATAATCTGATGCCATAGTCAAGGGAGCGCCCGCTTCGCTACTGCACGCGGCGTGACCGCGGAGCATGGCAATCCATCTCGCTCACTATTAATCAGGCAAAACACAGCCAGCGAGAATCCGTCGAGGAAGGAGGGCGTGCGCATCACTGCGTCGAAGGAGACGACGGATGGCGGGTGATGGATCACGGTCCCTGACGCCCTCACCAATGCTGATCATCAGCTGAAACCAGTGATCGAAATTCTGTACCAATTCGGCTGGATGAGCACGAAGGAATGAACGATGTGTAGTTGTAGTAACTGCCGACGCAAGGCAGGCAGCAGACGCCATACGGAGCCTTTGAGGTGCTCCATGGATGGCTTGTGGTCAGAATGAGCGTGGACTGGTCGGCCGGCGGACGGCATCGGGGAGACAGATCATGTAGATCCCCGCGAATCGAACAGCGTATATTATTACGTCGCGTGCCTGGTGCCGTTGATCCGGTGCAGGCGGGGATACGGCGTTCAGCACGTCCAGGACGGATGTCTTACAAGGGGCTGAGGTCGAGGACGATGGAGGACGCGACGGAACTTCAGGGGAGGATGAGATAGACAACACATGGAATGGAGGAGGTTGTGACCGGGGACGGAGCGGAGGCCGGAACAGGTATCGTCGAGCGCGTGGACGGTATTCTTAGAACTCTCTCTTCGTCCCACGCCTGCCGGGCACGGACCTGTTTGTATAAGAGCCGATCTCGCAACAATGACCGGTTCCATCTTTCCCCTTTCCCCACTTCGCTGCCCCTCTGTCTGCTGTTCCTCGTGGTTGCCGCCTAGCGCGTCACAGGATTTACTACGAACGCCTGACCTGGTGTCTTTTCCGATCCCTTTCAGCAATCAAGCTCACACAGCACCGCGCTCTTTGCACGCTACTGGTCCTTCTTAATCCCATCTTTTATCATCAATCATGTTCAACAAGACTCTCTTGGTCGCTTTCCTTTCTCTCTCTTTCACGGCTTTCACGGCATCGGCTGTTCCCCTCGGTCAACGGGGTGTGGTCGAGGAGACTATCTGTGCTGTGCGTATTCTCGGGACTCGAACCATATCCGAATGAGGAAATCTGATCGCCGTTTAGACGGTCCCTGTCACCGTGTATGCGACAGCTACTGTGACCGTCACGACCGACAACTCTGCGGCTACTAGCGCGTCTACCGACAATTCGTCGTCTTCGAGCTCCAGCTCGTCCGGCTCGGATTCGAACTCGAACTCGAACTCTGGCTCAAGCTCTTCGAGCTCGTCGTCCAGCTCTTCTTCTTCGAGCTCGTCCAGCTCGTCCAGCTCGTCGTCCAGCTCGAGCTCTTCCAGCTCCAGCAACTCGAGCAGCAGCCACAAGGGCCACCACCACAAGGGCGGCAACAGCAACAACAGCGGCTCCAGCAGCAGCAGCAACAACAACAGCGGCTCCAGCAGCTCGACTACCACCGCTACCGCCGCGGACTCCTCGTCTACGGACGCTTCGTCGACCACCACCACTGCTGCCGCATCGGTATGTCGAGTTTCATCAATGCTTCGTCGATTACTCTAACACCATTTCCTGATCAGTCTTCCTCCAACGTTGCGGTCGACAACTCGTCTGGTTCCAGCAGCTCGTCCAGCGATGCGAGCGGCATCCAGTCCTCGCTGACGCTCGACCCGTCCGTCCTCGCCACCGGCTTCGAGAACGACGGCCAGGACGTGCCCGCCGCGGGTCAGGTTGCCTCGCTCACCTCGAGCAACAACTTCATCAACTTCTGCGCCGGCCAGACGATCACCAACGGCAAGCAGATCACCAACGGCTCCTGCAACCCGGCGCCGATGGGCCAGATCCCGGCGCAGACGCTCATGCCCTCGTCCAAGTTCACCTTCCCGACCAACTTCGGCACGATCAAGGCCAACACCGCGTTCACCATCTCCATGGCCATCTCCAACCTCGAGACGGGTCACTTCGTGAACGCGCAGGAGAACTACTTCGCGGCGCCCCAGCAGCTCAACTCGGCGGGCATCATCCAGGGCCACTCGCACGTCGTCGTCGAGCAGCTCCAGAGCCTCGACCAGACCACGCCTCTCGACCCGACCAAGTTCGCGTTCTTCAAGGGTCTCAACGACGCTGCGGTCAACGGCGTCCTCACCGCTGATGTCACCGCTGGTCTTCCCGTCGGCTTCTACAAGGTCTCGTCCATCAACTCGGCGTCCAACCACCAGCCCGTCCTCGCCCCCGTCGCCCAGCACGGTTCGCTCGACGATGCTGTCTACGTGAGTCGCACCCCGAAACAAGTTGTTCATCAATTCTCCGAAAACTGACATGATTCCTCGTCTTTCCAGTTCTCGGTGACCGAAGACGGCGTCGCGGCTGGCAACTCGACCGCTGCCGCCAACTCGACGGCAGCTGCGACCGCCTCCGCCGCCGCCAACTCCACCGCTGTCATCTCCTCGTCCGCCGCCGCCAACGCCACCGCCGCGATCTCCTCGTCCGCTGCCGCTAACGCCACTGCCTCCGCCGTTTCAGCCTCCGTCACCGGTTCCGCCGTTTCAGCCTCCGTCACCGGCTCCGCCGTCTCCGCGTCCGTGACCGAATCTGCCTCGGCCTCGGCCTCCGCCGCCGCCACCAAGGGCGCCAAGGACTCGAAGACTGCCTCGGCTGCCGCCTCGTCTTCCGCCGCCGCTTCGTCCAGCGCCGCCGTCTCCAGCTCTGCCGCTGCATCGTCCTCTGCCGCTGCATCGTCCTCTGCCGCAGCGTCCGAGACCGCATCCAGCTCTGCCGCTGACGCGACCGCGACCGAGGCTGCCAAGGCGGACAAGGCCGATGCCAAGGACGGCAAGAACTGAAGAAAGGGAAGGAAAATAGAATAATCGATGGCGCCTTTTCGACCTCGATTTTCACTACCAGATGCTCTCCTAATGATTGATGATACCAACCAGTGTGCTTGCATTATTTCGCGCTTCACATCTTGTGCTCGTGTTTTCTTTTCCGTTCATTGATCTCAACCTGTACTGTCACTACTTGCCAACGCTTGACGTCGTTCGCATGTGTGGTCTCTTATTATTTCTTGGTCTGTGCTGGCTTCGTAATAGCTCTCAGAGGTCTCGATGCAATTGATTTGGGGAAACGACCATTGAGGCGTGTGAGGATGAGACGACACATGCATCCAAGCCTGGAAGTCGAGGGCAACAAACGCAATTCAGTGCGAAACAAAACGCCCCTCCCAATACGCCTACGTACTCGCGGACGCTCTTGTTGCACGTCACCGACTATTGAGTTCCTCAATATCCTGCTAAATGTCGTACATGCCTAAATCTGGAACACAATCTTCTCCGCGCTGACCTTCCCACTCTTCATGTACTCGAAACCGTCCTTCACCGCGTCGAGACCTCCCGGCCACAGCTTAATCTGACAGGGCTTCACTTTACCGTTTGCGAGCTACAACCCCGCAGGAATGTTTGGTGAGCCACTCCGCGCAAGATGATATGGTACGACGTACCAGTTCAGTGATCTTGGGCATCCAGCCGACCATTTGCTCCCGGTCCTCCGGGATTGCGGGCAGCGCCCAGCCCGTCGGCATTGTGAACGCCTTGCCGAGTGCGGTATACAGCATAGTGCCTTGACGCCGTTTCAGTGAGCGAAAGCCGGGAAGGCGGTTGGCAGAATACGCACCCTTCATCTCGACATCGTCTCGCAAGGCCTGGACGCTTGGATCCACCAAGAACGTGGTGACCAACTTTCCGGGCCCGGAACCGAACGCCCGCACCGTCTTCTCCTGCGTCTCGGCCGTGCCGTACGCGTCCAGTGCGAGCGCGAGGGTCCCACCCGTCGCCTCTTTGATTTTCTGCGACACGTCGGGGTCGTTGTAGTCGAATACGGCGTCGGCGCCGAGCGAGGTCAGCAGGTCAAAGTTCGCGGGCGAGGCGGTGGCGACGACGCGATAGCCGGCGAGGTGAAGGAGCTGCACTGCGAATATGCCGACGGTCGTGGCGCCGGAGAAGACGAGGACCCAAGGCGTGGGCTGCGCGGAGACCGTAGATGGATAGCCGACCAGACCGAGGTTGTTCGGGTGGAACAGCCCCTGAACCGCGGTGCAAAATCTGCAAGATACCCGTGATAGTTGAGCGAGCATCGAAGGGAGACGAATATGCGCATCTACCCAACAGTGACGGTAGCGGCTTCCTCGTACGACGTTCCCTCAGGGATATGCCAAACGAGTTCGGCGTCGGCCTTGACGTACTCCGCGAACGCGCCACGGTCCTTGTACTGCGCGCCGTGCACGAAGCCCGCGACGCGGTCGCCCGTCTTCACGTCCTTGACGCCTTCCGCGACCTGAACGACCTCTCCAGCGAACTCGCAGCCCACGATGACGCCAGGCTCGGCGAGGAATGAGGCGCTCTTCCAGTCGGTCGGATTGAGCCCAGCTGCAAGGACGCGAACGAGGATCTCGCCCGGCTCGGGGCGCGGGGTGGGTATTTCCTGCACGGATACGGTGTGTTCTGACGCGCTGAGGAGGGCGCGCATGGTGGACGGTATGAGAGAAGACATGCTGAGTGGAATGAGGATGATCGTGTTCTGTTGCGCATATTTATACTCCTAGTCCTCATAGTCCTTGTCGACGTCTGTGACAAAGCATCTGCTGCGTCACTATAGTAAGTGGGACGAGAGGGGCGTTCTATGCGGGTCAATCCCGCGTTGTGCGCAGGCTCGTGTGCATGGATCCTGTGTCCGGGAGTCGATATGCTTCTATGCAGCAAACGATTAGCGCGCGCATGTTAGGTATAGGAAGGATCAGACTCACCGAAGACAACATCTTTTGAGGGTGATTATTGACTTCCTTCGACGGCATTCATGAACGCAGAGAACAGGCGAGAGCAGCAACGTAGTCCAGGTAGGTTACTCTTGTGCTGCTCGACAGACAAATACCCAAGTGGTATGTGAAAGGGGCTATCGCCAATTGCGTAGATGGGTGGATGCACGAAACCCATCCGACCCATCCTCCGGCTTCGGACCAATCGCGGTCCGGCACTAGATGATCACGTGGAGTTGGCGTAACGGGTTCCAGCCTGCTTACGTATCATTAGCGCACTATCGCTTCAGATTGGGCAGAATCCGGGAAAAAGCAGCTATCGGAGGCATGAAATACTTACCTACGCTTGTTTGTGTATCCCGCCATCCAGCCCACTGCATTTGTGTTGATCGGATTTTCTCCTCTTTATGATACATTGTCATCAATGTTCAGTGAATTACTTGCCTTATTATTACTGCCTCATGACGGACTCGAGGCTGCGATCCCGAGAAGATCAATGGGACGCGTCGCGACGCGCCTGGTCGCTGTCCGGTCCAATCCGGAGCGATCACGTGCGGTGGCGTCACGCGATTTGGTCCACGGTCGTTGTGGCTTCGCTAGAACGCGACTGAGATATCCTCCTTACCGTACCTTCTCCCCCTCAATCCCATCTTTTCTCCGTGGAAACGGTCTCTCGATAAGCCGACAGGATGCCCGGACCACGGAACTCGAAGAAGAAATCCAAAGCAAAAGCTCAGCAAGCCAAGCGACAGAATGTCAAACCGAACACGAAGGTACCGGTGACAAGCGAAACATTGGCCGCGAAGAACTCGACACTAGATGTCAAATATGCGATAGAAGCCACTGCTTATACTGTTGATAATGACCCAGCCCACGAGGTCTTCGAAGATGCGGAAGACACATCCATGACCATGGAGCGACAGCCACCTGAAGAGACAGCTCGCCATCCGTTGCTGGCCCAGTCGCCGACCCAGCATGAAGCTTTCTTGCAACAGTTACCTCGGAAGAAGAAATGCACCGGGCTTGGCTTCTTGAGCCCCAAGGCTATCAAGCTCACCGAGCCGTGCATCCACGATCCTGGGTCTGGCCCTCGCGTTCGCGATGTGGACATGTTCCTCTCTTCCTACTGGGCAGCACCCGCCTCGCTCGACGACGAGCTTTGTGCTGCGTTTTCTGCACCAGAGGTTCTGGATATGTTGCAAGAAATGCCTGGTCTGGGCAAGGAGCTGTCATCGGTAAGCATCTACCCCCGCCCTGAGACGAAAGCGCCGAAGGTCTCCCTTCCCTTCCATGCAGATTCTGTACTACAATCGCTCTCGGAGAACTTCACGTATCTGTCCCGCGTGCAGACGCCTCTTCAATGTCGGCGATGCCCTTAAGCCTCACTTCGAGGACGACACATCACAGCAACCGGGCGCGATGAACGCGTGTCCCCCCGCACCGACCGCCCAGCTTGTTGCAGAACAAGAGCTCAGTGGACTATGTACGTCTTCTCCCTCGTTCATATACGCCGGGGTCGCACGCGAGAACGCCGATTGACGTAATGCTGGCCAGGCTCGCCCGTGTGCTTCATTCTAGCCTTTCTCTCCTCGCTCCCCTCGCCCACGCTCACGCTCGACCATCCTCTCGTGCAGAAGGGCGTCAGGACGACGTGGGGTGCGATCGCGGAGGATATGGACGACGAGATCTGGGATTTGCTGGTCCGTACCTTCACGCCTTCACATATCCCGCACGTCGCTCACGTCGCGCCTTTCTGGCAGGACTCACCGCATGCGGATACAGCAAACAACGGCGAACACGAAGGACTCGGTCTGCTGCTCAAGATGACACGGATGCACGACCTTGGGTTGGGCCAGATATGGTTCCCGGAGGAGGACTTCGACGAGGACGCGGACGACGCACGTGGCTCGACCTCGGGATTGGAATCGTCGCCATTAGCCAGCTCGAGTTCGAGCTCGACGGTATCGGGTTCTTCGGCGTCGGCGTCTCCGACGTCCGATCTCTCGCAGATGACGGGGAGTGCAAGTGAATCGTCTGCCCATCCATGGTCCCTGTCCCCGATGCCGTTGGAGTCGGTCTGGATGACCAAGCGACGACACGAAGATCCGGACTACAGTGACGACGAGATGTCGACGGGGAGCTCGATGCCTTACCACGACGCGCGATCTGGCACGTCCGAAGTGGAGGACGGGTATTGGACGTCGGAGGATGAGGACGCGGAGATGTCGTCGGAAGAGGACGAGAGGGGGCGGAGTCCGTACGTCAAGCGTATCGGGACGAGGACGGTGGAAAGCATCGAGCGCGATTCGGGTCGGTGGGCGCATATGGTCACAGAGGATGAAGACGACGAGAGCGAGGAGTACTGGACGAGCGATGACGATGAGCCTCGAGGAAGGAGTAGGGAGGTAAAGCCGATCGGGAACCGTGTGGCTAGCCAGCGCAGTCGACCGGTGGGAGGCGCCGCTGCGGAGACAAGAGTGAAGTAGCGTGCGATGGATGACGACTTGGATGGGATGGGTCGGTTCGTTTCCTCATTGGCGTTACGTGCTTTTCTTTTTTCTTGCGTTCATGGGTTGGATGGTTGTATCGTACGGATGGCCTAATACTTGCAATCACGACCCGCACGACACAACATTTCACTTGATTGTGATGCAGATTGACAGCAGATCCGAAGGCAATGCAAGATCCGATTCCATTTCCGTGTCCGTACAACTTTTATACAACAACTATCGTCAACTGATCGTTACCGTGCCACAAATTCGACCGCCCTCCGCTGAAATGCTTAGGACAGCGAAGGGTTGTTCTCCGCGAAGTATTCGTGGTTATCCGCGTTGTCAATCGCCTCGGTAGGATTGCTCTTCGCGAGCGACTTCGCGGCGCTCTGGCCGTACACGTGGTCGTCCGTGCCGGCGATCTTGGTGAAATGCGAAGACTCATGGATCAGCGTGCCCGCGCGGGAGTCGGTGCCGGTCGTGGTCGTCTCCCAGAATACGTCGCAGAGGTAGACCTTGCCGTAGGTGTCAGGGTAGACGTAAGCGTACGTGTCCGCCTCGTCGCAGGTCGAGCAGTCGTACGTGAAGTCGGCGTAGGAGGCCGAGTTCATGTTGGAGTAGTGGGAGAGGACGGTGGAGTGGCGCTTGGAGGTGTAGGTGCCGAACCAGGTCGTGTAGCGCGGAGTGGAGGCCGTGTTGGTGGAGAGGTAGTTGTACGCGCCCTTGGCGTACGACTGCGCGGCGGTCGCAGCGGAGGAGACCTCGGACTTCTCGGAGGAGGAGCAGCCGACGAAGCTCTCGCGCTTGGTGAGCGTCGGGATCGGGCGCGCGACGGCGAGCTTGCCCGAGACGGCGGCGACGTGAGCGCGCTCGACGTCGGCGTAGAGGGCGACGGCCTGCTTGGTCTCCGGGTCGACATAGTGGAAGAGGTTCGACGGCTCGATGCTGTAGGTGCTGCTACCGGACGAGGTGAAGTTGTAGGCGGCGGAGAGATCGTGCTCGATGGAGACGGAGGCACCTACGCGCGGAGTATGTCAGTCAGGGATACCTTGACGGCGAATACGAAGCATAACGTACCAGGAGCAAGGATCGTGAACGAAGTGTCCTTCTCGGACTCAATCGCCTTGTTCATCGCGTACTTGACCACGATGCCATTGAACGAAGGCGACGCGCCGGTGTGATCGGCAATGCTGAAGGAGTTGGTGGGCGCCTTCCTCAGGACGGAGGAGGGGTTGTTGAGGAGTTTGAGGGTCTCATCACCGGTGTTCTTGACGGTGGTGACGATCTAAAGGCGTTGAATGCCTGGTCAACACGGGTGGCTCGTGAGTTCGCTGGTGTGCTCAACAGACCTTAAGGTTCTCAACATCGGCGACAGATTCGGGGCCGGAGACGCTGAGGGTGAGGCCTCGGGTGGCGGAGACGGCCACCGCGGAGGAGACTAGGGCGAGCAAGGCGGCGCGGAAGAACATGGTGAGCTGCGAGTCGCGAGACAGGTGAGGGTACCAAGACAAGAGCGCCTAGTGACAAGGATCCGTCGGTCTCAGCACGCCCCTTTTATGCGTTCTTGGGTATATCCGGGCGGAATTATCGCGATCCCCGTTTCCGAGACGCAGCTCGTGTCGTGCACATGCATCCTATGTCGTCCGCGCGATGAATAGATACGAGATGGGAATGTTAAGCATGGCTTGATACAAACAAGGAGCGCCAAGAGCAAGAACCGCTCCGGTGCAGCCCTTTTGCGAAGCAGTGAGCAACGCGGAAGAAGTCCATGCACACCGAGAAACGCCCTGCTCCGACATGAAGATGTTGATCACCACGCGCGTATCTTCGTGGCCCGTCGTAACGTTCGGTGTTCCATGGTAGATAACGTCTAGTGAGTCTCGCTCCGGACCAAGTCTGGACTGAGAATTGCTCGCCAATCTATCTGCGACACGAGCATGGTTTCGGATCGCCGAGGGATTTCATCTCGTACTGAGTCTGTCGGCCATCCATGAGTGAAACCTGACGATCCTATGACGGCCCAACGGCAGAGTAGGACAACTGCCTGGTGCCATCGGACGCTGATTTGCTGTCGATTTCGTCGACTGGGCCCTCGAAGGAGAGGAGAAACTAAGAAGCATCAAAGATGCGGTGTCCACGCGGGACGGGAAGGAAACACGTCCTGCCAATACCGTGGGACCACTGACGCATTCCCCGCTAATTCCCCGCACGAAATTCTCTGTTACAGCTCAGGAGCTCATTCGTACGCCGCTTTAAGAAACAAGCACTATTCGGGGCATCCATTCAATACATCCACAAAAGCGCGAGGAGAATGCATGCTCAAGTGAGGGTATGATGTTGATAAATCATCATTTCGGCCCTCGTGTGCAACGCTCTCTCGAACGTCAGGTCGCAGGGACTCTGCTTCGCTGGATCCGCCCTTTGACAAACAATAGAAATAAACTCTCCGGCACCTCCTGTTGTGCCCTTTTTTTTTGTTGGAGACATTCTTCCTGAGTCTTCAATGGAGGCGTTGACCATGATGTCGTCGTGGCAGCTCAGTTGGCCATGAAAGGATTCCAGAGATGCGGTTAGAAGTCAAAATCTCATGCATGGTATATCGATAGTATGTCGGGAACGCTAGAAGGCGATCTCTACCGGTTAGTGCGGGTACGGAAGTCGAGGTTGTGTGCGACGGATTGAATTTCATTTGATGCCACTTGCGCTTGATTCTCCTCCGTTGTGTCCACGGACGGTTGGACCTTACGGGTGAATTAACGACGACAACGCACCACTTGAAGCACATCTCATCCGTGGAACAATCCAAGAATCCGGGTATAGTTGCAATGTCCATACAGCTTTTGTACAACGATCGTCATCTACTCGTCACCGTGCGCGTCGCGATGAGAGGTAGGCCTATGATAGCGCCAGCTCAGTCTTGCGAAGGGTGGTTCTCCGCAAAGTATTCGTGGTTATCCGCGTTGTCGATCGCCTCGGTGGGGTTGCTCTTCGCGAGCGACTTGGCGTCGGTCTGGCCGTACACGTGGTCGTCCGTGCCGGCGATCTTGGTGAAGTGCGAGGACTCGTGGATCAGCGTGCCCGCGCGGGAGTCGGTGCCGGTCGTGGTCGTCTCCCAGAACACGGGGCAGAGGTAGACCTTGCCGTACGAGTCGGGATAGACGTAAGCGTACGTGTCCGCCTCGTCGCAGGTCGAGCAGTCGTACGTGAAGTCGGCGTAGGAGGCCGAGTTCATGTTGGAGTAGTGGGAGAGGACGGTGGAATGGCGCTTGGAGGTGTAGGTGCCGAACCAGGTCGTGTAGCGGGGGGTGGAGGCGGTGTTGGTGGAGAGGTAGTTGTAGGCCTTCTTCGCGTAGGACTGCGCGTGGGTAGCGGCGGACGACACCTTCGACTTCTCGGACGAGGAACAGCCGACGAAGCTCTCGCGTTTGGTGAGCGTCGGGGTCGGGCGAGCAACGGCGAGCTTGCCCGAGACGGCGGCAACGTGAGCGCCCTCGACGTCGGCGTAGAGGGCGACGGGCTTGCTCGTCTCCGAGTCGACGTAGTGGAAGAGGTTCGATGGCTCGATGCTGTAGGTGCTGCTACCGGACGAGGTGAAGTTGTAGGCGGCGGACAGGTCGTGCTCGATGGAGACGGAGGCACCTGCACGGCGAAGCGGGATCAGCCGAGAATTGAGCACGAGAGGAGGGTTGGTAACGTACCAGGAGCGAGGACCGTGAAGGAAGTGTCCTTATGGGAGTTGACAGCCTTGTCCATGGCGTACTTGACGACGATGCCGTTGAAGGAGGGCGACGCGCCAGTGTGATCAGCGATGGTGAAGGAGTTGGTTGGGGCCTTCCTCAGGACGGAGGAAGGGTTGTTGAGGAGCTTGAGAGTCTCATCACCGGTGTTCTTGACGGTGGTGACGACCTGAGGGATCGCTAGTCAACAATATGTACAGTCGTCTCGTGTATTCGTGGACCGACCTTGAGGTTCTCTACACCATCGACAGCCTCGGGTCCCGAGACACTAAGGGTGAGGCCCGGGGTGGCGGAGACGGCCACCGCGGAGGAGACCAGGGCGAGCAACGCAGCACGGAAGAACATGGTGAGCTTCGTGAGCTTGCAAGTCGCGAGACCGGTGAGAGTGTCAAAGAGAAGAGCGCCCAATGACGAGGAGGCATCGGTGGCTCAGGAAGCCTCTTTTATCTCTCAGTATTGCCGATTTCCCAGAAACGATCGCGGGCCCCGTACGGGGATCCCGAGGCGCGGACGAGATACTGGGTGTACCATGTGTGATTCATGACAGCTGTGTCGTCCGCACGGTGAATGGAAACCGTTGAGCATGATCCACTTCGGTGCAGTTCGTATCCGAAGCGCTGAGCAACGCGGAAGCTCTCGCAAACCACGATGCAGAGATGCCGATTGCCACATGCATAGCTTGGTGTTGTCGCGACGCCCAACGCTTCATTCCAGATGTCCCAAATCGCCCAGCGTGCCATTGTTGTACGAGTGCGATTTCGGAAAGCTGCATTCAACTTGATTCACATTCGTCGAACAAATTTTCGGTGAAACACAGAGAATGACGAACCTCTGAAGACTGCCTACGTCCCAAGGCTAGTCGCTGAGAAGGCTACCGGAGGAGGAAGCATCAAGATGGCGTATCCACGCGGAAGGTAGTCCATGCAGCCAAGATCAAACGTTGCGGATACCTCAGATGAAGCGCATGAACGACGGTGGATACCTGGAGATCCCTGATGGGGTCGCGGTCGATCACATGTATCGGACGAAGGACAACGGCAACGGGCTTACAAGACGCCTTGATCGGCCCGACCCCTCGCAAAAAATCGATTATTTCTGTCCTACAGGACCAAAGGATATCGAATTAGAGACCTGTGCATGACAAACATGACCCGAGTGTATGCCGCGATGTCGAAGTCAAAGGGGAAGTGAGACGAATCATTCGACCCAATGCGAGCTTTACTCCCGTTTGTTCTCACGCTTAGTCTGTCCTTTCGAACGGGCTGCATGCTGCCTCTGTCCCCTCTCGCAATTCCTACGGAACACGAACGAGGCTGAGTAGCACCACATAAAATTCAAACAATCATGTCTCGACAAGACTCAAGGGGGGACCTGCGGTCGAACTTGAGCGACGTCCCCGAGGAGGGCACCCTTAGCCCAACCCGCACCGATTCGCCAGGTCCTCGATCGCCGTACGCCATGCATGCCGCAACCGCGTCCAGTTCGACACTACCGCCGTATGGAGCGCCTCCGCGCTCACCTCTAGGGCCACGGAAGCCGCAAGGCGTCCCGCGCTCCGCCTCCGACCGATCAATCCGCAACGGCGCGACCAGCGGCGAAGCCAGCCCCACGCGCAGCGCGAGCACGCCGAACCCGTCCGTGAGGCGCTCAGCGAGCGCGACGTCGGCCGTCGCGGGCGGCTCCAGCTCGCTGAAGGACGCTAAGGCGCCGTCGAAGAAGCGCAGCACCGCGGACACGGGCACGCCTGGCCCGGGCGAGCGCTACCGCGCGACGCCGCGTCTACCCCACGACAAAAACGCGAAGCCGGTGCCAGCGACGTTGATGCATTGGAGCCCGGCGCCGGTGTATGGCTATCTGCCGACTCGCGGGATGCGCGCGCATACGGTTACGATGGTGGACAACGTAGCCTGGGTGTTCGGCGGATGCGACGACAAAGGGTGTTGGCAGGACGTGTGGTGCTTCGACGTCGGTATGTCCTGAAGCGCATATAGACAGCTCATATCCGCCATATCTGACTATATGCGCGCCAGAGACCATGTTCTGGAGTCACCCGCAAATGCTTGGAGATATACCGCCACCCTGCCGCGCGCATAGCGCAACGCTCGTCGACCGCAAGATCGTGATCTTTGGCGGAGGCCAGGGCCCACAGTACTACAACGACGTCTACGTGCTCGACACCGTTACCCGGCGCTGGACTAAACCCGTCTTCTCACACCCGATACCGGCGCCCCGACGCGCGCACACCACCGTCCACCACAAGAACAAGCTCTGGATTTTCGGTGGAGGGAATGGAATGGAGGCGCTGAACGACGTCTGGACGCTCGATGTCGGCGTGCCCATCGACCGGATGCGATGGGAGCTTATCGAGACGGGGCCGAAGAAACCGAGCCCTAGAGGATATCACACCGCCAACCTCATCGGGAACGTTATGGTGGTCATCGGCGGTAGCGACGGGAGGGAATGCTTCTCGGACGTATGGTTGTTCAACATAGGTGCGCGCGCCTTCCTTGCCCGGTGCTGCTCGTTGAGTGATGTCTCGGACGCAGATACGCTCGGTTGGTTAAACGTCAAGCTCGAAGTGGCCCATCGGCGGCTATCCCATAGCTCGACCCAGATCGGCTCATACCTATTCATCACGGGCGGTCACGACGGAACCAACTACACCTCCGAGCTTCTCCTCTTCAACCTTGGTGAGCAAAACTCTCTCCAAACTCACATTCAGTATCCTTCATTCACACGATTTACAGTGTCGTTACAGTACGAAGCGCGCCAGACCGTTGGCAAGCGGCCGTCTCCGCGGGGCTACCACGTCGCAGTTCTGGCTGACGGCCGACTGTTCGTGTTTGGCGGATTCAACGGGCACGAGGTATACGATGATGTTCATATACTCGACCTTGCTGCTGCTGCGTACCTGCCGCAGGTGACGAGCTTTCGGATCGAGATGGATTTACTATAGGACTCCGGTTTTTCTTCAACTTGAATGTGCAACATATATATTCTGGATCTCGGAGGGGGAAGCGGGTTACGGATGCTGGGGATGTAATCATGGCAGTCCGGAGATGGGCTGCGCGGCTCACTTCCGGCGAGATGGCGGACAGGGTCCGGTAACTTATGTGCGTCTTTCGTATTCTTTGTTTGCCCGATGGCTGATTACTTCTGCGTTTCAGGATCATAAATGGTTTCGTAGTCTCCTTGCTTTTGTACATCATACGCCACAGAACGATGCAAAGGATCGAGTGTCTATTCTCAGCCACTATATCGCCCCGAAGACTTGCTGCGATTGAAGTATTTTCGTTACTCCACCGATGCCCTGCTACGTTCATCTCCACTTGCAGTCTACGGCACGGCTGACGGACCACTCATTGCATTCTTTTCATGACCTAGGGGGATGTCTACTTTGAGGCGCCTGCCGGGCCCATCGTAATGGAATGTTTCGCGGCACTCGAGGGTCTTTCTTGCCGTCCTTCGTTATTGCGTCAACGTCGAAGGCTCGCGAGTCGCGAAGCTGTCCCATCTCGACCCGCTCCTCCAAGCGCGAGACTGGCGAATGCTTTTCCGGTACGGTCCCGTGATGATCATATGGCGCACATGACTTACGCAGCAGCTTCCCCTTGATCCGGCCCGCTTCTGCAAGCCGACCCGAATGCGCGTGCGGCCACTTAGAATCAATACGCGAAGAACGTGCGCGGTCGTAGCGCGCGCCATGCCCGACGTTTTGCAACGCGTCCGGATGCTCCACGCACGAACGATCTATTCTGGTCACGGCATCGCTGCCTATCTATAAAGTACGAAGTTGTTGCTGGTCCGCGAAATTTCAAGGATTCGATCCCGTCATGATCTCGTTTCCTCTACTGGCATTACTACTCTCGTCATCGCTCCTAGCGGTGGCTAGGCCGTCCCCTCACGAGCTGTTCCACAAGCTGGTGCTGACGAATGACGACGGATGGGCTGCGCTGACCATTCGCGCGCAAAACGATGCCCTCAAAAAAGCTGGTTTCGACGTATGTTTCTCATTAACCGTCTCCCGAAGATGGGAGCATACTTACGCTCAACGATACGCGATAGGTTATCCTGTCGGCCCCTGCAGTGGACAAATCCGGCACGGGATCGTCGGACGCGCCAGCGACCGTTGTGACCAATGGATGTGAATACGGTACATGCCCTGCTGGAGCTCCTGCTACCGGCTTCAATGCGTCCGATCGTACGTCAAGTAGTAAAGTGTGTAAGCGTGATACTGATATTTCCCTTCCAGCACGCTTGAACTACGTCAATGCCTTCCCGTAAGCACCGGACTGACCTATTGCGCTTTCGCATCTCGTCGAACCGAACTTGCTCGAATAGGGTGGATGCCGCTCGGTTCGGTATTCAGACGCTTTCTCCCAAATTCTTCCATTCCAAACCCGATTTTGTGTTCTCGGGCCCCAATGTTGGCAGTGAGTACCTTTTTCACCAGCGTGATTCATTGTATTCTGACCTTCAGTAGATAACTTGGGGTCCACCGTCTTGATTTCCGGGACCGTGTAAGTTCTCGCTAACCTGGTCCTCCTGCTCGTGTCATTGATCTTTTATATCCAGTGGTGCCGCGACGGAGGCTGCAAAAGAAGGCATCCCTAGCGTCGGATTTTCCGCGTCTGGCTCCTCGACTGCTCAAGTCTCCTACGCGAACGCTTCTTCAGCCCTCGCCACGTCAGCCGCGACCTACGCCGAGCTCGGGACGATCTTCACGCAGAAGCTGCTCTCAACCCCCAAACCGATCTTGCCTCGTAACATCACGCTCAACGTGAACTACCCTGCCACGGGTACCAACTGCACGCAGCCGTCCGACTTCAAGTTCGTCTTCTCGCGTATCTTCGTCAACACGAGCCAGACCGATGTTGAGCACTGCGGGAGCGACCACCTGCCGGACGAGACGACGGTGGTAGGCACGACCGGCGGGTGCTTCGTCAGCGTGAGCGTGATGAATGCGGTGACAAAGTCGGACGTCGATGCCAAGACGCAGGCATTCGTGCTTAGGAAGATCAAAAGCTTGCTGAGCTGCCTGCCATAAGCGCTGGGTATATTGTGTGCGAGGACAGCTGTTAGAGTCGCGCAGAATATGATTGGGTTCATCGGGTGCTTTGTGTGATCGACGAATCTTCTCGTTTGGGTCCAGGCGTCCACGTTCTTCTGCTATTACGCAGTAATTGATGAAACATCACTCCGACTTGCCGTCTTTTCGTCGCGCCATCGTCAGCACTACTAAGTTAGAACACTTCTGCTTTCCTGTCCACATGCACTTACGTGGTTAATTATCCTAGGAATGAAGAACGTGCGCAAGCACCACAAACGCGAACGTGCCAATGGTTCACGAGTGTAACGCTACAAAAGCGAGCATGCCCTCCCATCACAACTAAGCAGAACGAAGCAATATCATGCTTGTTCTCCTCGCATCTTTGTTTCCGCTGCTCGCGTCGTCCGCGTCCGTTCCGAAATCGCGGGCTACACTATCAAAGATCGTGCTAACGAACGATGACGGATGGGCGGCGGCCACGATCCGTGCGCAAAACAACGCGCTGAACGCCGCAGGCTTCAACGTGATTGCTCCTTGCAGCACATAGAAGGGTCTTTAGTGACATTACTCTTGCCATGCAAGTGGTACTGTCCGCACCGGCCGAGAACGAATCGGGTACCGGATCGTCAAGTGCGACTCCGACTGTCGTCACCAATGGCTGCGAGTTTAGCTCATGCCCTGCGGGATCACCTCCGGAAGGCTTCAATGCATCAGACAGTAAGTTGGGGGATCACGATCCATGTAAAGCGCCGCCGAATCTCGTACTGACCATCTCGTAGCTCGCCTGAACTATGTCAACTCTTTCCCGTGAGTGCTTTATGTATATTTAGTGCACCAAAATCCTGCCTCACTTCTTGCTTGGATAGGGTCGATGCAGTTCGATTCGGCATCCAGACGCTCTCACTCGAACTTTTCGGCTCAAAGCCCGACTTCGTGTTCTCCGGCCCCAACGTCGGCAGTATGTCATACGATCGTGTATATGGAGGAGCATCTCTAACCTTAGACAAAGATAACCTAGGATCTGGCGTTACGGGATCAGGCACAGTGTGAGCTGACATCGAACAGGCAGAAAAGGAATTGCTCATCGTAAGTTGACAAATAGGGGAGCAGCATGTGAGGCAGCCAAAGAAGGCAGCGCGAGCGTCGCGACATCAGCATCTGGTTCCTCCACATCCCAAATCTCCTATACAACGCTTACTTCGAACGCAACATCTTCGCTGACCAAGTCCGCATTGATATACGCAGCTCTGGGCACGGCGCTTACTCAAACCTTACTTTCTGGCTCAAACCCTATCCTGCCTGCCAACATCACGCTCAACGTCAACTACCCCACCACAGGCTCAAGCTGCACGAGCGCCTCCAGCTTCAAGTGGGTGCTGTCGAGGATCAACGCCGATTCCAGCGCTGTGGATGTCGAAACGTGCGGCACGGACCACCTCCCGACCGAGAGCTCCGTCGTGGCAAAAAGCGGGTGCTTCATCAGCGTGAGCGTGATGAATGCGGTGACGAAGGGGGATGTGGACGCCACGACGCAGGAGTTTGTGCTCAACAAGCTTGGAAACTTGTTGAGCTGCCTGACCTGAGGGGACAGACGTCATGGTGGGTTGAAACTTGAGACGTATGACTATCGATACACGTTCCTCCTGTAACCGCTCGTACCTCCGGCAGCCCGTGAGTGACGACAACCGCAGAGATGGCGAAGTGAAAGAAGTGAGCGCCTCGACAAATGTCGTCGTACGCGAGGGTAGCATGCACGGCGAAGAAGCCTGGGGTCCTACAAGTTTCATTGAAGCGAAATATATACGCAGTCCCCGACGATCCAATTCAATACGCTACTCTATGAATTATGAGAGAGAACCGTGCATATAATTTACACATGCGAATGCAAAGCGATATACTGCCGATACCTGGCCACCACAATGTCCGTGAGATGCTCTACCTTCTTCGAGTCGAGAGAAGCTCGATGCATTTTACGACTCGTCCAGCTCCTGTACGAGCTCGAGGCGGTCGACGCAATATTGCGCCACGAGCACGCCGTCAATCGGTATCTCGTTGCCCTGGAAGCCCGGTGGGTACGCGACGGGCGGTGTGTTGGGGCGGGTGAATGCCCTACGAGAAGCAGAATCATCAACTTGAGCTTTCTGTGAGTGCGAAGGATGAAGGAAGGATGACGAACCGGTCGCCCCAGAAGCCGTAATGAACCATGCCGAGAGCGCGCGTCGTCCACTCATAGTCGTGCGCGAAGCCGCCGGGGTAGAAGAATTCCATGACGGTGGATTTTGCGCTCGGTTTCATCCACACGAGCGACGTCAAGCCGTTACCGTGTACGCCCATCATGATCTGGCCCCCGGGTGAGCATAGCAGAGTACGTCAGAGCATATGGTACGAACTGTGGTACGTCCGGAGAGGATGAGCTGGTCGATGCGAGACAACTTGTCCATGCTGACGACGTTGACTTCGTACCCGCGCTCGTCGCGTAGCTTGTATAGTTCCTGCATCAGGCGTTCGTGATCTTCCGGTATCAGCATACGACGACCCCAGTCTTGCCTGTGCACAGCGAACGCTTCGTAAGTACGCGGCAATTCGACGGATCGGCAGGGACGTACCGCGAGATGTACGTGATCACGGGCTTGTCTGCGTCGTGATCGCCGACGCCCGAATACCGCATGATGTTGCCTCGCACAGCAGCCCACCAGTGCACGGATCCCGGCAAGGCGAATGGCGCCGACGCTGTTCGCTGCGTGCGCAAGAAGTTGTATCCATGCATCGCCGCCGCACGATCCGCGAGCACGACGCGGTCGAACACGATCGGCCTCCCGATGCCGTCCCCGTTCGCCGCGTACTTCACCTGTGCCTGCCGCTTACCGCCCGCGACGGCGGTGCTGGTGTCGTTGCTCCAGATCTCGGTGTCTGCGATCCGGAACGCGTTGCGCGCCTCCCAGTCGTGCGAGAACTCCATCGTGATACTCGGGAACGCGGCGCGGATGACGAACTGGTTCATGCTCGCGTAGTCGCGCCAGCGGTCCGAGTCCGTGTGCGCGAACAGCATCCGTCGCGGGGGCGGGAGAGATGTGACCCCGGTGGAGGGGATGAGCGGGTCGAGCGAGGAGTACGTTCGCCAAAAGCCGAAGAAGAGTTCGGCGGAGAAGTGGTAGTAATGCGTGATGAACTGCGGCGGGTCGTTGGCATACCACTGCGTAGAGAGGAGCGAGCAAGTCAGACATCACATCTCATTTAGGGAGAAAGGAACATTAGGAGTGTCAGGGCAAACTCACAGTGACACCGTCAACGCGGTCCGCGCTGGCGAGCCCGTCTGCGCCGAACAGCTTTTCGGCCTGTTTCGGCGTGATATATTGCATCTCGCGGTCTGTCGGCGCCCGACGCATCTCCTCGACTTTGCCATTGTGTATCGGTACAGCGGTCGAGATGATCAGCTTGCGGGGCGGGACGGCGGTGATGTTGTCCGTCACGACGTAGAGCGTGCCGTTCAGTGCATACAGGCGGTCGAAAATCGTCCAGCCTATACACGGACATCGTATGGGCACATAACCCACGTAATGCGAGCATAGATGTCGCAAAATGATGCGACGAACGCACCTGGAACATGCGCTACGACGTTCGTCCGGGGGATGTCGCCCTTCCCAGGTGTCCACCGCAACACCGTATCCTCCGGGGCAAGCGCAACCTCCTTGGTGGCTTCAGAGTCCACAACCAGATCCTCATCGCGAATGAGGCCTTGCGCTGCGTGCGGGTCGATGCGCGAGCCGGTGAAGGTGTATAGGAGGAAGGCGAGTAAGGCCGCTGTCAGAACGAGCTCACGCCGTGTTGGCGCGCTCGTCTCGGTGAGCCACGTCGGCGCCATATGGTTGCTGAGGAGGGCGATGGCGCGCTCGTCGTCGCCGAGGCCAAGGAGGGAGAGAAAGGCGGTGGTGGTGGTGGACGGAGAGCGGAGGTCAGTTAAGTGCCTACCCCGGAGTTTGTCTCTTGCTTCATCCCTCCTTTCTTCGTGCTTCGCCCGCCTTTAGGCCGCATTCTCCACTATCTCGTGCGGCCTTCGGAAAGCTTCAGGCGGCTCTGACACCTCTTTGGGGATTGCACGGTTACGTGGATCGTTTTTAACGTTGAACAGGGTGCTCAATATTCTGCTCCTGACCACCACCGCCAACGAGTTACAAGTAGGAAGCCGCAACGCATATTGCGTAGACTGGAAAGACTTTCAAAACGGAACGCCGTCGTATCTCAGGTTTGACAGCCTGGAAGCCACTCCGGGAGAAATACAGCTTACTCGGACTTTATCCACGTTGCTCCTTGGCCCGCTCTCTAAGCTGCAAGATTCAACTTACTGGATTGGTCCTAATGAGCTGAACCCACGGACGGCGCTCTACTGACCGAATCGTCGATCTCGCGGCTGCCAAAGATCAACTACTGTGGGGGCGCATTCACTGAGTCAGCGTCCATCTTATCACTGGATCACATTACCCGGCCTGAAGCAGCGAAAGATTAGTGTGCAACTGCATCGACGCCAAGTAGGACTTCCTTCCTTTGTTGAGCGCGACTCGAACCAGCGGGTCAACCCAACGAGTGTACTATGAGCACGCAATCTACCGTCGAAGTGCTCTCCTCCGCCAACGCAACGCTCGCTGCCCATGACGCGCTGCTCTCGCGCATCCGAAACTCACAGAAGCAGCATAGGAGGCAGTTGCGCGCCCTCCCCTCCCCACCGCATGCGATCCTCTCCCTCCCGCTGCTCCCGTCACCACCACCTTCTCCTTCTCCCTCTCCACCCCCTTCGCCACCTTCTATACCCCCACACGTCCAAGTCGTCATCCACCACAATCCTCAGCACCACAAGCATTCCAGACCGGACCTTCCGCCCGCAAAACGCGCGCGCCTAGCACGTTATCGCAATTACGTACCCGAAGAGGAGACAATCCGGAACGACTACTCGCAACGATACGTCGATGGCGGCGAGTGGCCACAGAACTGGGTCACTGGTGCGGACCCTGCCCGGCGCTTTGAAGAGTGAGAACCCGATTCTGAACGTTTCTCTGGCCATGCAACCGATCTGCTCATATTCCCTTCAACCATAGGTACCCTAAACAAAGGCGCCTGCTGGCATTGAAGAAAGCATCCGTCAACGAGAACGCCCTTCCGCCAACCTATGTCCCCTACAGCGCCCTTTCCACCCTCCTCTCACCTCTCCCCGCCCCCTCCTCCACTTCTTCCTCTCCCGCCTCTACGCCGACGCTCACTTCCACTTCCCTTCCTTCCGTCCCCGGCACGGGCACGGGCGCTAAGTTCGACGTAATCCTTCTCGACCCGCCCTACTCATCTTCGCTCACCTTCGCCGCGCTCTCCGCGCTCCCGATCCCGCAGCTCGCAGCGGACCCTTGCTTCCTCTTCCTCTGGGTTGGATCCGGCGCCGGAGACGGGCTCGAGCGCGGGCGCGAACTGCTCGCCAAGTGGGGCTTCCGGCGGTGCGAGGACGTCGTGTGGGCGAAGACGAACGCGCCGGGGCACGCCCCGGGCACGGATCCGCCAACGACGAGCCTGCTCACGCGCACGAAGCAACACTGCCTGATGGGCATCAAGGGCACCGTCCGCCGGAGCACCGACGGTTGGTTCGTGCACTGCAACGTCGACACGGACGTGATTATATGGGAGGGCGACCCGGTCGACCCGACGAGGAAGCCGCCCGAGACGTACACCCTGATAGAGAATTTTTGCCTCGGCCTGCGCCGTCTCGAGATCTTCGGCAAGGCGCGCTCGTCGCTTCGGCGCGGGTGGGTGACCGTGCTACAGGAAGGCGAGGATGCACCGGAGAAGTTGAAGGAGGCAGAGCGGGAGTGGGAGGAGACTGGGTACTCGTTCGGGTACGCGGATACGACTCTAGGGACGGGTGAGGGCGCGGGCGGGCAGCAAGCCGAGGGTGAGGGCGAGGGGTGGAGCAAGCCGGTGCCGTTCGATAGGTCAGGCTGGGAACGCGCGCTGGCGGACCTCGCGAGCGCCCACGGACAGGTCGCGGGCCCAGGGCCGAACGCGAAGTTCGTCGTGCCGATGACACCCGGTAAGGGCTCCGCCACTCGTGCTCCAGAGGATGTGGCGGGACTTCACTGACCTTCGTGCTCAGAGATTGATGCGCTCCGCCCCAAATCGCCCGTGCGCGGAGGATCGGCCAATGTCCATCACAACTCTGGTGGCGGCGGTCCGCCGAATATGAATATGAATTTAGGTATGGGTATGCCCATGGGCATGAATGCAATGAACATGAACGCTATGAACATGAACGCGGCCATGAACAATCTGGGTGGGATGCGGATGGGCCCTCGACGGAACGTGCCAATGAATGTTGCGGGGGGGATGGGACCGATGCCGGCCGGGATGAATGCGGGGCAGATCGGCGGGATGGGACAGATGGGTACAGTCCCGGGTATGGGCATGGGCGGGATGGGTCAGATGGGTGGCGTAATAGGTCAGATGGGCGGGATGGGTCAGATGCCCATGGGCATGGGCGGCATGAACATACCCAACATGCCCGGTATGCCGATGGGCAACATGGGTATGATACCTGGGATGCAGGGCTTGCCTGGGATGCAAGGCGTGCCCGGGATGATGCCGAACATGGGGATGCAGGGTATGCAGGGCATGTTTATGGGCGGCGAATTTGAGGGAGGCGTGGACCCCAACATGATGGGGATGATGGGCCAAGGCATGGCCGGCATGAATGGGATGGGTCAAGGCATGGGAATGATGGGCATGAATCAAGGTGTAGGTCAGGGCATGCCAGGGATGCCGGGTATGGGATGGGGTGGTAGTGGTAGTGGTTACTAGGTTAGGGACAAGAGACGGTCCCTTATTTGCGTGCAATGGACACTAAACTGGACTCTCTATTGATCTACAGTAGTGTACAGAGGTGCGTTATGCTGCTACTCTACGAGACCCTGTGCATGAACGCGCTGTGCGACGCCTATACGTCGAACGAACCAACTCCCGGACAGCCCGATGAGCGCCATGACACCCGTCCACCCATAACCGTTGAAGGCTCGTGCCTCGATTGACAGACCAAATATCCAGCTGGTACAGCGGTACCGATACATTAGCATGCGACACAAAGCGAGGGAGGAGAGCTTGTACCTGACGAATACGGGGCTGATCCCAATGGCGAGACTCTGGCTGATCTCCGCGAAGGCGTTCGACGCACCAAGCGACGCCGCGCCCGGTGCGGTCTCGCGCACAAGAATCATGCTTATCCTGCATATCACTGATCAGCGCACACTTTCACTGACATGGCAGGTTGGGGGTAGTGCTCACGAGAAAGCCAGCGTGCCAATACGAGACATGACCGCTACAAGAGTCACCGCAGCCCACAGTAGCGCTGTATGCGCACCCGCCGACTCCTGGGCAATGTAGTTTAGGAGCGGGAAGAGAAGGAAGGTAATGGGCCAAGTGCGCAAAGTAAAGGTGTACAAGCTGAGGATGTGGAAGCGCTGGAGAAGATACGGCATGAGGAATAACTTCATCACTGCGGATGTCGAGCCGGATATGGCTAGGGCACGCCCGATCTCGGATGGCTGTCATCAAACAGTGTTAGGCGGTAATGTGCAATCCTGGATACTTCAATGGAAAGGTGAACGCACGGAGAAACCAAGACCGCCAATGCGGACTGGGGTGTAGCAGAAGAGAACAAAAACGGCGTTGAAAGCGGAGGCGAGGAAGGCCATGACGACGCCGGCGATGAGTACTGCGCGGAGTGGCGGATGCGTGAGCAACTCGCGTGTCGTGGGCGGCTGAAGTGCATCCGCTCGAGCCTCGACAAACAGCACTTCCGGGTCTGGAGCATCGACGATCGACGATTCCACGGCATCCAAAGATTGTTTGTGCTCAGCAGAACGCTTGGCAGGGAGGGTCTATGTTATAAAATCATAATTTGAGCAAGCGATGAATGATTGACGGACGGACGGACCTCTTTAAGGATGAGGGATCCCGCCAAAAGCGCTAACGTGGCCAGAGCAGCAGTCGCGAGACACGGTAGAGCGTAAGGGTACGTTTTCCACAGCTTCGAGGAGAACATGATCCATCGTTCCCCCGGGTTGGCGAGCAAGCCCCCTACCAGCGGACTACGTTAGGACCTCCGTTAGCCAGATGTTCATGGCACGACTAGAGGAACTGGTGTACCCTACGACGAAGCCAAGCGCAGAGCACAAGTCGTATACGGGAAACGCGATGGATTGGTTTGTAGCATCTGTCAGCTCGCCTACAACGGAGTGCATCGTAGCAACGTTGCCCGCGAACAACCCGGCTGGACATCATTGACGGAATTCAGACTGGGTTAAAACACAGCTCTGGAGCGCATGAGCTAACGCACATATTATACGTGCCACTAGCAGAGCAGCAAAACTTCGAGAGAAACCGAACATGACGGCGGCTATCCCAATCCCAGCAGTGCCAGCCAGTATCACCGGCCGACGGCCTGCGCTGTCTGAAAGAACGCGTATGAGGAAGCGCACTATCGAGATATGCTACAACGCACCAGACAGCCGACCCCAAGGATACGTGGATATCAACTGCGCCCATAATGATGCGCTCCCCTACACCCGCCACGGATAATGATGCACTATCGTCAACGGTCGCGTCTTCTTCGTCGCAAGCGGCGATGAACTGACAATGAGCCCGCTGTACACGCCGATGCGCGCGGGATTATCCGTGAATTCGAATCGTTGAACGAGCTCGTTCACGTAGGGCATTATCTGCGTCGCGGCGACCGGCACGACCAACTTTGTGAGGTACAAAGATCCTAGCTGCAGCTTTGGCAGAGGCGTTCTTGCAAGTCCATGGTCAATACCAGCGAGTAAAGCCGTAGCTTCGGTAGGATTTCCATCGTCTATGTTGCGTGTTGTTCCGTCAGGCATCGTCGGTCGTTGTCGTCAGCGCATGAACGGCGCGCGCTTCTCTCGCCAACTTTGTTCGCCGTTCGGCAACATGTTCTTAAGCCCTTTCTCTGCACGGCACTACAGACCTCAAACACCCAGATCATGATTGCAGGACTCAGTTACACACCGATCCGTGCCGGGGGGCACCGTATATACGATTAGGATTCTGAACGTCGGACGATGTTCAGTCATCGGAGATGCACCAGTTCTCGACATACTGATCAGCTGGTCGTGCACACCTGTTCTGAAAAGCGCCTTGAACGCGCCGACGGTGCGAGTACTGATAGTCACCATTGTCATGATTCAGCACCATCTGCTGCATACACTCTTCAGTCTGACTTCGCAATCACAACGATGTCTCCAAATAGCGCCTCCGGATATCTCTTCAAGCCCTCTGTGCCATATACGTACGCACCGACGTACCCATCTGGGCGTACAATCACCAGTGTAGGACCACGATCGTCTTCAATTCCGTATTCCCTGAACGCGTGCCCGTCTTTGTCCATCAACACGACGTCGGCATTATGGGTAACAGCCATGAGATTTGCCTGCTGCTCTTCAGTCGCCAATGCCGATAGGATGACGAAATTCTGTATTTCAGCAGGGAATGAAGCAAGAGCCTGCAAAATCGCAGTGACAATGCTAGGGTCTGCGTCTGGCTTGATGAATGCGAGCGCGGTGTGCCTGGTTAGCCTGAAGAGTTGGAATATCGACGTCGATTCCTGGCCCCGGAGGGACGCCCCCGCTGATGCTCGAAGAACCTGCAGACCTGGAGGTGCCGGAACCCTGTCGCCTGCGTGAACACCGTCCTCGTAGCCTACGTATGCTTGCGACGTATCACGCTTCTCTAAGGAATCCGGGTCTACCTGATCATCGACGACGATGCGGCTCCAGCGATAGTTGATCTCAAGCATGCTCAAGTCAGTGCTTCGGTTGAGCCCGTCTTGCATATTGTCACGAGTCTTCGTGTCAAGGTGGCCCGTGAGTTGGAGCATAGTCCTGATCATTGGATGACGCTCCTCGTTGTAGCTGGACAAGATCGAGGCAGGAACTAAGCCACAGCCTAGATTCATCATATCTTGCAGACCAGAGTTCAGTCCCTGGAGAGGATGAAGTGAGCACTTATTCATTCAACGTGCAAAATTTGGGAGTGATCAAGCTCACCTGCCCACCCGTAGGAGGATGAATATGAGCGGCATCTACACAGAGCGAAACGTTAACGAATTATAGAGACTGGGATCTGTACCACGATCACCTCCGGCGATGAGAACCCGGCCATCTGAGAATCTGTCGATCATGCGGCTACTCGGTCTGCGAAACGCGAAGGATCGTGAGATTCTAATCGCCGCGATAAGTGGGCTGCACCGAACCTATACTCTGATGTCCACAAGATTCTTGCCAATTTGATCGTCGGGACAGTAATCTCCTCGTTCGCCAGTTTCAAGAGCTCCTCAGTATGAGTGAGGAAGTGGGACGCATCTAGATGAGTCCCTGAGATCGTCATCTACCCCAGGCAAGGCGGCCGCAGGTCGGACCATCAACCTATATTCAAAGCTTATGTCACCAGGCATATTGGAGTATATTCCGCTACGACGCACATCACATCCTTGAAATCGCCCCAGATATCAAAGGAACTATCGACCTAACACGAAGGTTATCAATCCTTGAGCATATTGCTATGCCAATTATAGGGCTTTACCTCTGTCCAGGGACTTTCAAGCTCCACTTCACAGATGAGCCAGCGGCCCGGGTGGGGCTCGCCTATAAAGGGGAGGCCCAAGAGCTTCCGTACCGTCTCTATACCATCTAATTTCAGTCCATATCAACAGCTCTCCGCCAATACACGTACCTCTAGCTCCGTCTGTTCACGTAAAAGCCGAACGGTGCGAGACTGTCCCAACAATACCGGCTCAATCTATGAAATGCATCAGTCCCATACTGAAACTCGTAGTTTGGGGTAGTGATATTTACGATTGGATGAGATGGCCGCGGGGCCATTACTTGTGAGACAGATACAATCAAGGGCTCCGGATTCCCTTCTTTGAACATGCGAACGGGCAATGAATGTCTCCGAATCTTCGTGAAATTCTCCAGCATCCCGGCAAATGAGAGCAGTTCGAGAGATCGTAGCTATTAGAGTACTGCGTCAGTCAATAGTGCAGCGTATCCTTCCTTTCGCTGACCGTGATTCCGGATCCCCTTTCTCCGATCTGTAGATGGTTTTCCTTTTCTATGATCCGACGTCATTCTGAGCGAGGGTGATTGCAGCAATGAGAGAGAGGTAGGTCCTGCTCCTACCTAAAATGGTAGCAATATCATGTTCCAGAATCTGTTACAGTTGAGCTATAGTTACACACCATGAGCACGGTGCGTGCATTGAGTTCAGATGCCATGTTTGGAGAGTGACAGTAAGCTGCAGCGCGATGGAGTACCGTTCCTGGCTAAGACGGTATTGACCTCGGCGAGCACACGTACGTTTTATATATGCTATGCAGGATGGATAGCAATGGTTCCATTGTGCTGCAGGTGAATAGAAACAATGGACGCTGATCGGGATAAAGGCGAGGTGTGAGATCATTCGTCAGACTGGACGATAAGGAGGAGAAAAGGCTCACCAGTTATTCCTAACGACTCTTGATGAAGTGAAGGCCAAATCCGTGCTATCATCACCGAACGCGCGACCTAAAGAATCTCCTACGGTTAGGAGAAGCATTGAATGTTCAGCTATGAGAACCTGAGGACGCGAGCATAAGTAGTCGTCATCGCTAAGTATCACGCAACGGCCAGATCACGACAGAGCAACAGCATCCATAAATAGGAGAGGGTCCGGGGCATCGGCGTAGACAGTCCCTCAGGGCTCCCCCGTTCCTTGTACAAGCTCAGGAGGTCGTACAAGGACAAGTGCATGCGTGTGGTGTCTGCGGCCCCAACCCGTCTTGGTTCTCGCGTTCGTCATGTTCATGTCTACGATGCCTCTTTTCAGTCGTAGTCGAACACAATTGCGTCTGCGAGTACGTGTATGATCAATATCTGCTGTCGATATCGCACAATATCTTTTGATGTGTGTGATTGCTCATTGCAGTCCCTCGCAAAGCATCCATTCCTCAATTAACTTCTGAGAAGCGGCTGAGCGAGGCGTGATGAGGCACTCAAAGCGCTCGGGGTGCCTTGCGAAGCATTCAGCCAGGATGTCAAAAGCATAATTGTAGCGCGGCTCACAATGCCAATCCATCGGATGTGACAGGCTGCAGCTTGCAGGGACGACCCTACTCGTCCTGTGGAGGATCGATGTTATACATCGCGAGCACTGATGCGACAATTATCGCCAGGGAATCCGCAAGAAAGTCTCTTCCGGGACATATTCTCTAATGACCTCGCGTAAGACAATCCGGGGGATGCGCAACGACAGTACACTCACGCGCCCAAATCCGAATGCTGCACATCCGGGGTCGCGGATCGACGGGTTGAGTCTACCGTCGACGAGGAACCGATCTGGATTGAAGGCATCTGGATCAGGATAGACGGTTGGATCGTGAAGGATGGACCTGAATATATCATGGGTACACAAATAGTAACGTGTGCGCGTAGGAACCGACCAAGTATTCCCGACGACGAGGGTTCCCTTGGGGATATAATAGCCTTTGTACACGTCATCATTGACGGACGCGTGGTACACGCCTGCAGTCAATCGTCAGCTCGTGAATGACATGGAAATCGTTATATGCGATGGCTCACCAAGTGGTGCAACGGGTATCCAGCGAAGAAGTTCTTTGCACACTGCAGCGATATATGGAAGCTTATCCAAGTCGTCGAACTCTGCGTACCCGATCATCCATGTCAGACCAAATACATTCCATATATATCATGCTCGCCTGGAAGCCGGGATTTGCCCACGACAGCATCGAGTTCTTTCTGGGCCCGATGCTGGGCCTCTGGGTACATCGCCATGGCGAGGAAGAAAGACTGAACGGTTGACACCGTCTACGGGAACGCCTCAGCGGGACCAGAAGTCGCGCATGCTTTCGACTCACGGTATGTGCCCCGGCTACCAGTGATCAGGTTAGGAACAAATGCAAGAGTACAAGGAGAGCAGTTGTCCATGACGCACCAGCGTAGACAGCACCCGCTACTTCTCCGGCGAAAGCTTGGGTGTCCGCACGACTTCCGTGTCCGTTAGGTGACTCGAGCAGCGCACTTGCGATCGACAGGTGAGCATTCCCAGACACCTAATTTCAGAGTATCAACAACTTATACATCGAACTAGATGACGACGGTCAACCAACCATATTTGCCTTCACAGCGTCGATCGGCATGTTACAGAACTTGGTCGTGTCAATTTTCCATATTGCAGCATCACGCTTAAACTGTGCTCCGGGGAACCAAGCTGGGACATGCGTGACTGCAATGCGATTGACACTTGTGAGATCGTTCGGGTTGCATCAAGAATTGAAACTTACGCGAGTGGAATACATTGGCATAGAATCTTGTTGGGTGGCCAGCATAGGAGAGTCTGAGCATCGTAAATCATTGCGTAGGCGGTGAGGACTCGTAAACGTGAGCGAGACGTACTGCGAAACGGCTAACTCGGCCTGCTTGATATATTTGTCATTCTCATGGGCAACCTTGATGCCATACGTAATCCTCATGATCGTCGCACCAACAATGCTGTGTCAAAGTGAAAACAAGACGAACACATGAAGCACGGGAATGACGTACTGTCGAGCATGATCGTAGAACAATTCGGGCGATACTAGGAGGCGGCCGAGCAAATTCCGGGCTTCGTCTAGCTGTACAGGACGATACTGTTTGGCCAAGTTGCGATTCATGAAGGTGGAGATAGCACGCCTCTGCGCTTTCCACCTTTCTCCATATGGCAAGAAAGCAATCAGCCAGTCCCAACCCATCCTGAGAGGCCAGTGTCGCGTCAGTTGGATAATACACACGATATCAGCTTGGTTTGCTTACAGATCCGTCACCATGGGGAATCGAGGTCTATCAGAGTAGTTGCTTGAGCGTTTTTCCAGCAGTTCTGAACAGTCTTCCAGAGATCCCAAGATGAGAATCCCTGCACCAAACGCCTTAACGTATATCATATCGCCTATGAATGCATGAGTCCAATGGAAATTACCAACGTCGATGATCGATACCGTATGTTTTGTGCCATTTCTCGTAGACGAGCCATGGATGGTCAACCGGGATGCTGAACGCGTTTCCTATCCACGGCATCCAGCGTTTGGGGCCAGGAGGAAGCGGAAGTCCCTTAGGACCATCTCGGTTGTGTAGACGCCAGGACAGATAGATCACTGAGCTCGCCAGGAATGCAACGCCCATTGCTGTCTCTGTGGATACCGCCATAGTGCTCTCGGGGGAGCGATATCACCGGCCGGCGCTGACATTCCTCGCTTTATAGATCCGTCCGGCTTTCGTGCAAGGTGTGCATTCATGACCTCATTCCGGGGTGACGTCCGAAGTTGGGGTCTTTCAAGTCTGTTGCGGACATAGATAGAAGGCGAGCGTGCGAAGCGATGGTGTTTCCTGTCGGCCTGTTAGGAGCTTGGGACGAGCCTGATTTCGAGCGGACGTTCTCGTTCGACCAGCCGCGCCGAATGGGCCAATGGTGTCGCTGTCGCTGACGCTGATGTGTTGTTGAGCATGTTCGTCGTTGGCTGACGACTTCAATGTATCCAGAGACCAAAGCGTATGGCACAACCTTGCAGTGAGTAACGTAATCGTGGTGGGAGCAGCAAAATGAAAGAAAAACGCGCGTCCCCGAGCAGCACGGACGCTGTCACGGCGCCGACACGTTTTTGTCTAATCGCAATCACAATGGCACAATTCGAGGTGCATTGACAGATTCAGCTACGACAGAGCGATATCCTCCAAACGTGGTGGCAGGAATAAGACAAGCAACTCATGCCACTGAGCGCAATGGCGCCAGCCACATCGCGTCATCCGTGCTTTCTTCTCTAAGTTCTCTTTCTTGAGCTTCAATCGCGTGCGTCCTGCTCAACAGACCGTCACTTAAAGACCGTCATACACTTCTCAGGCTTTTTCATACGCGCTCGCCAAAGATGTCCGGAAAAAAAGAGAAACCGCTTCACTCCCTGACGGCAGGAGCAATAGCGGGAGCCGTCGAGGCGTAAGCAGTCGTCCTCCCATTCACGACTGACCTCGCGTAACCTGTCTTGGTTCTCTAGACTTGTCACTTATCCTGCCGAGTTTGCAAAGACAAGATCTCAGTTCGGTGGCAAAGTAAGTCTAATGGCGCGTATGAACCGAAGGTGGACTGAGGATATTCTGTCCTGATAGAGGGAGAGCCCGATAGCTGTCATTCGTGACACGGTCCGCGCCAAGGGAATCATCGGGCTCTACTCAGGATGTACGGCTTTGATGGTCGGGAACGCGACGAAGGCCGGCGTGCGATTCGTTAGCTACGACCACTTCAAGAGCATGTTAGCGGATGCCGAGGTGAGCTTGCCTTTATCCTACCCTAATTCAACGTCTTCATACTTATTCCGCTCTCTGTGAGGGCAAAGTGAGCGCGCCTCGAAGTTTAGTCGGTATGAGAAGGTTCACGTTCTCGTCGCAGTCCACAATTAACAACCGTGTCGTGAAGCTGGTTTGGGTGCGGGGATGATGGAGGCTATCTTTGCCGTGACACCGTCGGAGACGATCAAGTACGCCATCCATCCTCTCACTTGTGCTCACGTTCTTATGCTCACGAACCCTAGAACGAAGCTGATCGACGACGCAAAAAGCCCGAACCCCCGATATCGTGGATTGATACACGGAACAACCGAGATCGTACGGCAAGAGGGCATACGAGGGATCTATCGAGGATTATTCCCGGTGGTGCGTACCGAATCGTCTGACATTGGTTGGCTAACATGGGCTTACGCGCGTGCACAGATGATGCGGCAAGGCGCCAACTCTGCCGTACGGTTCACGACCTATACGACCTTGAAGCAGATGGTGCAAGGACAGACGCGGGCAGGGCAACAATTACCCAGTGGTGTAACGTTCGGTATCGGTGCCATCGCTGGCCTCGTCACCGTCTACACCACCATGCCACTCGAGTGCGCCACCCTATACGTTCACCGAGTATAGTCACTTACTCGTGGTCGCCGCAGTGTGATCAAAACTCGGATGCAAGCTTTGGACGCTCGAACGCAGTATCGGAACTCGTTCCACTGCGGATATCGGATATTCACAGAGGAGGGGATCCTTCGGTTCTGGACTGGAACTACGCCTCGGCTCGCGCGGCTTGTGGTGTGTCTTCATCTTGTGTTTGTAGGTTTCATCTCGTTGACTCTATCTCCAGATGAGTGGAGGTATAGTGTTTACTGTATACGAGAAGATCATAGCTGCTATTGGTGGACGGCAACCTTGATCCAATGTGCATGCTGTCAAGCTTAGCACAGAACCAATACATGGCCATGCCTCCCAAGTGCCTCGCCGCCGTGACCCCATCGCGGGGTTAGGGTCCATGAAAGTCACGAGACCAGAGATAATCTTCTGTGCCTTTCGGGCTAGGGGCAAGGTTTTTGCTCCGACCACATCTGCTGCCAGTACACAGAGCGATGGAAGCTTTCGAGACGTACCAGACGCCGCTCTCAAGGTTGATTCTTTCATCAAGTTTGGTTTCAAGCCTCACGCCTGCCATGCAGCCGCTATGCGAGCAAGGAGATGGCCCATCTCTTCTCATCCGCTGTGTGTTTGATCTTAGTTCCACCATTAATATCGCTCATTCCATGTGCAACGTATTCAGAAGCGCTTCTCGACATGGAGGCAACTATGGCTCAACTTGGCCATGGCAGAGAAAGAGCTGGGCCTGCCAATCTCAGACGAGGCCGTTGAACAGATGAAGGCCAATCTGGTACGCGCGGGGCCTGTCTACTTTGTTGAAGGTGGTCACTAACCTTCTCCTTACTCGGAAGGATCTTACCCCAGAGCAGTTTCAAATCGCAGCTGTGGAGGAGAAGAAGAGGCGTCACGACGTTATGGCGCACGTTCATACTTTCGGTCAGGTCGCGCCGGCTGCTGCAGGAATCATACAGTCAGCCTTCTTCCATAGCTCTTAGCTCTCCGTTCTTCAAGATAGACTAAACTTCCCGCAATAGCCTTGGTGCTACGTCCTGCTATGTGACCGAGTAAGTCGTGTTGTGTACCTTGGCACGCTCCATGAGCGTTAATCGCCTCCCTGCATTAGCAATGCGGATCTTATCTTCCTTCGGGATGCGTTGACCCTGGTGCTGCATAAGCTCGCGGTGGTAATCTCCCGCTTTTCCGCCTTTGCCGCTCAATATGGCGACCTTCCGACGCTGGGATTCACCCACTTTCAGCCCGCGCAGCTCACGACTGTCGGCAAGCGTGCGACACTTTGGATCCAGGTGACCCTTGGCTGTATAGCTTTCGTATTACCAGGGAACGCTTATTTTTTCGACGCTCAGGAACTACTGTGGGACTTGCGCAACATCAAGCGCGCCAGGGACGACCTTGGTTTCCGCGGCGTCAAGGGGACGACAGGAACTCAGGCCAGTTTCCTAGCGCTCTTCGACGGTGATCACGAAAAAGTCGAGAAACTCGACGCGCTCGTCACGAAGCTCTCAGGCTTCAGCTATGCCTACCCTGTCACGTCGCAGACATACTCTCGCAAGATCGACATTGATGTTCTAGCACCTCTGGCTAGCTTCGGTGCGACGGCCCACAAGATCGCGACGGACATACGCTTGCTCGCCCACCTCAAGGTCAGCGTTCATACCCCGCCATCCCGGTATTGAACTTACGGGCGTGCTTCAGGAAATCGAGGAGCCTTTCGAGTCTACGCAGATCGGTTCTTCTGCGATGGCCTACAAACGCAATCCGATGCGCTCCGAGCGGATCTGTAGCCTCTCCCGGCATCTCATGGTTCTACACCAAAACGCCCTCATGACCGCCAGCACGCAATGGTTCGAGCGCACGCTGGACGACAGGTAAAAGTTTCACCGCTCTTCTATGAACGCGCTGCCTCACCGCGCGTCCTGCAGCGCCAACCGCCGGGTGACCCTACCCGAAGCCTTCCTCACGACGGACATAGTCCTCACCACGCTCCAGAACGTGACGGAAGGGCTCGTCGTCTATCCGAAGGTGATCGCGAGCCGGATCGCGCAGGAACTGCCCTTCATGGCGACGGAGAACATCATCATGGCGCTCGTCAAGGCGGGCGGTGACCGGCAGGAGGCGCACGAGAAGATCCGCGTGCTGTCGCACGAGGCCGCCCACCAAGTGAAGCACCTCGGACTCCCGAACGACCTCATCGAGCGCGTCCGGCGCGACCCGTACTTTGACCCGATCAAGGCCGACCTCGAGCGTTTGCTCGAGCCGCGCAGCTTCGTCGGCAGGGCGCCGGAGCAGGTGCGCGCCTTCATCAGGGAATGGGTCGAGCCCGCGCTCGCGGACGCGGAGCTCAAGGCGGCGCTCGAGAAGGCGAGCGGCGGGAAGGCGGAGTTAAACGTGTAAAAAACGTCCCTGGCCGGGTGTATAGAAACCCTGCCAACCGTTCTCTTTGACGCCGGGCGGTCAGCCGGGCCTCTGAGCACTACATAGCTCGCTCTCAGTGTAGAGTCGCGAAGCACGATCGTACGAGACACGCGGACAACATGCGTTCAATTCATCAGGCCAAGATTAGACGGGCGCTTGATAAGACACATGGGTAGCATGGACTATTCTGTACCAGAAGATGCCTCTACAATACATTCTATACTTTGGAAGCCTGCAGGCCTCAGGCAACCCTTGCCCTCCAGGCATCCAAAAACCACCACAGTAGACAACAAGAGGTCATTTTTCTGGATGAGACAAGACAAACAAGGCGTGCCAGTAATACAGCGGGTGGAAGAAGGTGGTAAGAGAGAAGAAAAACCGATAACCTGAGACCAAGGGGGGTAGGATGACGATCAAAAGGCAACGATCCGGATAGTGTTACGAGAGAAGAGCGAGAGAGCAAACGGGATGGGGGGGGGAGGTGAGTACAGTGGGTACCGAATAATGACGCGGGGTTCGTTGCATAAATAGCCGACGTCTATAGGCTCCTGATTCCGAGGTTCCGTGTTCGTGCCGTGGAGCGCCCGGGGGGACCCTTTCAACTTGGCGAGAAACCAAAAGACGTGGATATATATCGTTTTTAGCGAGACCGGATGACCTTGGCGGCATAAAATTTAGCGGGCTTGGTGAGCCACATAGATAAGGCGTCCGGACGTGGACTCTCATCCTCGGTGTGTGCAGCCCTCGAGCGGCGCCATAAGTTACGCCTCCACCGAATAGGACGTCTGAACGTGCGCCAGAGCCCTAATCAGTGAGACTCTGTAAAAAATTTCCAGCGGAAAAAAAAATCGGAACCAAAAACGTCAGCGATGCCGCGCGATAGCTGGCCTGGAACGGCCGCAAAAAAAGTAAAAAAATCGCGCACACGTATGGTTAGTCGTCCAGTTCGTCGAACTCGTCGACTTCATCGTCCTCGCTCTCGACCATATCCACGTTCTCTAAAGCGTGCTTTCTTCCAGCGCCGGTGCCGTCGGCGCGCTTGTCTTTCATGATGATATCGTCGTCGTGATCGCGTTCGTGAGCACGGGGGGTTCCGTTCGCCTTTCCGTGGTTATGTTTGTTGCTCTGGTGAAGGGTCTGGCCGTGATCGTTGTTGCTGTTGCTGTTGTTCCCGTTGTGGTTCCGCGCGACGGGCGAGACCGAGCGCCCGTTCTGGTTCATCATGCCGTACGGCGGGGGCGGGGGCACGCCGCGCGCCCTCGCCGAGTCTTCGGCGCGCGTCTGCGCGAGCGGGTTGCCGGTGCCGTTGGGTCCCGCGAGCATGTCGACGACGGCCTCGACCGCGGCCTTTGAGATACGCCTCTGCGTCGCGCCGGGCTGCGTGCTGAGCGGGTGTCTGTCGGGGCTAAGCTCTTCGCTGTCGTTGACGTGCTCGGCCGAGGGCGAGCGATTCGAGCCCGAGGCTGAGCCCGAGGCTGAGCCTGCACTGCGGTTGCTGCTGCTGCTGGAGGAGGACCGGGCAGATCCGCCGTCGTCCGAGCCTGAGGACTGCCTGTAGCTCTCGTCGTCCTCGTCCGAGTCGTCATCCGGCATGTTGTTCACCGTGACCTTGCCCCAGTACCCCTTCTGCTGCTTCCCGTTCGCGCCGGCAGGGTGCCCGTTGGGCTTGACGTTACCTTTGCCCTTCTCTTCGCCGTTTGCGTCCTTTTCCGCGCCCTCGCCCGCCTTCTTGTGCGCCGCGTCTGCGCCTTTTCCGAACAGGTGTCTGTGCGCACGCACCCAGGCCGTGACGGGCTCCTGCTCCCTTCCGTCCACCATCGAAAACTCCGTCTCCTCCCCCTCCTCCTCCCCTTCCTCCTCCTCGCTTCCGCTTCCGCTCCCGTTCTCGCTCCCCGCCCGTCCATTCGCCTCGCCATTCACGCTCTTCGGTCTATCGCCCTCCTTCTTCTTCTTCGGCGCGCGCTTCACGTAAATCGAGCACGTCTTCCCCGTCGCGCTCAACAGCCTCACCGCCTCCCCCCCGCCCGCCAGATCCTCCACCGCCCAAAACTCGCACGGCTTGCTCTCGCCCCACAGTACGCCCTCGCGGAAGAACCAGAGCGTGCCGGGCTTGCTGCCCCGGTACGCCTCGATCCCCGGCACGCCGCCGAGGTCGGCCCTGTCCGGCGCGGCGCCGGACGTGAGCGGCGAGACCGGCGTCGGCGCCGGCGTGGTGAGCACCGCGCTCTTGAACACGGCCGTGGACGGCTCGAGGAGCTTCGCGTTGGGGAGGTGCGCGAGGAAGGCGCGGAGGGACGGGATCGTCGGCGTCCCGCGCGGGTGGTGCGTCATGCTCTTCGCCACCTTCGCGGTCGCGTGCCCTGTACCTGCGCCCGCGCCTCCTCCGCCGGGCTCGGGGTTGTGCGGGTGCTCGTACTCGGTCGTGCGGTACCCGGCGGGCGCGGCGGCGTCGATCCCGAATATCACCTGTGGCTTTCCCGGCGCGTCGCTCGCGAGGAGGACGACGGTCCAGTGCGCGCGGGCCTTGCCGCGCGTGGGGAGGACGAAGGCGCGGGTGAAGATGTGGGCCGGGAGCGTGGCCTCGATCGCGGCGGTGACGGGGTGCAGCATCTGCACGAGCTCGCGCCCGATCGTGACGTCGACCTTCTTGCGCACGGGCGAGGTCGCGGAGAGCGCGTGCACGGTGTAGAGCGGGTGGGCGTCTTCGTTGATCGGCGGCGCGGAGCGCGGGGTCGGCGAGTCGGGGGAGACTTTGAGGTGGTTCGGCGGGGCGTCGGGCGGTACGCCGCCGCCGCCGCCGCCCGGGGGAGGGGGCGCGTGTGGGTGCGCCGGCGGGGCGTGGTGCGGATGGCCGTGCATGGGCTGGTGGGGGTGGGGATGGCCGAGCGCCGGGGACCGGGGGTGGGGATGAGGATGAGGATGAGGAGGCGGAAGGTGGTGATGCCCGTTCCCGTGCCCGTTCCCGTTCGCGCTGTGCGTCCGGCTTCGCTTGCCGTGCACGCCGTCCGGCTCGTCCGGGCTGTACTTGCGCTTGTGGAGGACGTCGGGGGGCGGCGGCGGGCCGCGGAGGGCTTGGATGGAGAGCATGACGGCGCGCTGCTTCTCGGCCCACTCCTGGCGCACGCGCGGCGCGGCGTCCGGGGGGCAGTCGCCGCCGCACAGGAAGCGCAGGACGACCTCGAGGATGAGCACGTCCTCGGACGACTGGCAGAGCGATTGCAGCTTGAGCGGGTAGTTGGCGGGCAGCCAGGGCGCGACGGCTTGGATGTACGGCGTCGGGTTCACGATCGGCATCGGGGCCGCCATGGTCGGAGGTCGGTGCTCAGCGGCGGGGGTCGTTGCGCGCCCGAGGTTTGCGCGCGTGGTGTGTGTGGCGCGAGGTCGGGCGTTGCTGATTCTATAAGGTCGTCTAGATCCGGGGAATTTTCCAAAAAGTCTGGACGTAAGAGAGTCAGAGGCTGCGGAGACGAAAGGGCTCGAAAGCGGGCGGATGATGATGGCGATGGCCCGTCGCGAAACACTCCCGACTAACGCAGGCTCAACCTGCACCGTCACTATGAGCCCGGTGGCAGGGGGGCGGGAAAGGAAGAAGGAGGGGAAAGCCGACGCACAGCAAGCAGACGGCGTTATATGGACCGGCGCCTGTTAGAACCCGCAGGGCGTTCGAGAACGAGAGGCGAGGCGAAGTGGGGGGGGACTACCGATATGGAGAGCGGGACGATCGGGAAATGAGAGGGAAGGCGCGGTCATGACTTATCTGCCGAGCTCTGAAAGGGCCTGCAAGCGCCATGAGCTCGTTCGCAAACTCCGACTGTGACAAAAGCCATCGCCCTTCCTGCCCCGGGCTGTGCGCAATCGTGGCCCATTTCTACCAAGCTTAAGGTTTGGCGACCGGCTGCAGTCCGGCTGATGCCCGCAGCCGAATCTACACGAGCGCCTACGATCCTTACATCCGTCCTTACATTTATGAACGGAGCGCACATGCACGCCAATCTGTCAGAGGCAATCTGTCCCCCCGCCTCGCGACGACCCCGCCGTCTAATCATGGCCGGGCAAACACGCCATTACCGTCAGGCCACAAGCTGCGATGCAGAAACAAGGTTTTGACAGCCATCGACCCCTTCGGAAACTCTCACCCTATCCGTCGTCCTCGTGGCGACTCAAAACGCCACTTCCCTGCGACCGCCCGCGTTCTTTCGCTCTTACACCGCGGATCGCGGATGCCCCCCATCCCTCGGCGGGGGGACGTGCTCTGTCCGCCGTCTAGGTTACCCTCGCTTGGTTACTTCAAGTATACCGCGGACAAGCGCTCGCTCTTTGCGTTCCGACACGTCACTCAGGCGCTCGTGACGCGTGCCGGTCTGACATTGTTCCATAAATAAGCGCCCGCACGTTTTTCTGGCCCATCTTCCGCCTTCGCCCGCAGCTGACGCTCTAAATCGGTCCCGGCGGCGGCAGCCATTCAGCGCCGCCCACGACGGGCGCTCGCTCGAAGGGCAGCGGCTCATCGAGGAGAAGGAGTCACACGCCCATTATTTTCGTCCACGCCAACATGGGAGAGCAAGGGGAAAAAACCGCCGGGCCAATTCCCGCACGAGGAAAGGCACGAAGGCAGCTGATAGACTTTTCGTAACGCCGCCCTGGAACCTGGACCATCCATTAGACGCCGCCGCCGCGTTGGTCTCGTAACGTGGAAAGGGTGTGCCGTGACGGCAGCAGCCGGCCCTTTCATTAATTCCCCCCCCCCCCCTCG